GGAAATAAAGCTATTTGCGTGTTGTCTGGTGGATGGATAGGACACAAGGGAATAGAGAGTAAACTAAGCGCTGCTAAAGGTATATTTTCTAAAAACCTTCTATAGTTATAAGACATTCTATAGGGAGTAGACTTTCTTGCTGGCTTGTTGTTGCTATAAAGGCTCCCTGTCCTTCAGCTCGCCTATAAAGGCTCCCTGTCCTTCAGCTCGTCTATAAAGACTACCTGGCCTTCAGCTCGTCTAAAAAGTCTTCCTGACCAACAGCACGTCTATAAAGACACCCTGGCCTTCAGCTCGTCTATAAAGACTCCCTGGCCTTCAGCTCGTCTATAAAGACTCCCCGGGCTTCAGCTCGTCTATAAAGACTCCCCGGGCTTCAGCTCGTCTATAAAGACTGAGCTTCAGCTCGTCTATAAAGACTCCTTGGCCTTCAACTCGCCTATAAAGACTCCCTGGCCTTCAGCTCGCCTATAAAGACTCCCTGGCCTTCAGCTCGCCTATAACGACTCCCTGGCCTTCAACTCGCCTATAAAGACTCCCTGGCTTACAGCTCGTCTATAAAGACTCCCTGGCCTTCAGCTCGCCTATAAAGACTCCCTGGGCTTCAGCTCGCCTATAAAGACTCCCTGGGCTTCAGCTCGCCTATAAAGACTCCCTGGGCTTCAGCTCGCCTATAAAGACTCCCTGGGCTTCAGCTCGCCTATAAAGACTCCCTGGGCTTCAGCTCGTCTATAAAGACTCCCTGGCCTTCAGCTCGTCTATGGAGACTCCCCAGCTCGCCTTTGAAGACTACCGGGCCCTCAGCTCGTCTATAAAGACTCACTGGCATTCTGCTCGTATATTAAGACTCCCTACCCTTCAGCTCATCTATGAATACTCCCTACCCTTCAGCTCGTCTATGAATACTCCCTGGCATTCAGCTCGTCTATGAATACTCCCTGGTATTCAGCTCGTCTATGAATACTTCCTGGCCTTCAGCTCGTCTATAACGACTCCCTGGCCTTCGGCTCGTCTATAAAGACTCCCTGACCTTCAGCTCGCCTATAAAGACTCCCTGGCCTACAGCTCGCCTATAAAGACTCCCTGGCCTACAGCTCGCCTATAAAGACTCCCTGGCCTACAGCTCCTCTATAAAGACTCCCTAGCCTTCAGCTCGTCTATAAAAACTCCCTGGTCTTCAGCTCGTCTATAAAGACTCCCTGGCCTTTAGCTCGTCTATAAAGACTCCCTGGCCTTCAGCTCGTCTATAAAGACTCCCTGGCCTTCAGCTCGTCTATAAAGACTTCCTGACCAGCAGCTCGTCTATAAAGGCTCCCTGGCCTTCAGCTCGTCTATAAAGACTCCCTGGCCTTCAGCTCGTCTATAAAGACTCCCTGGCCTTCAGCTCGTCTATAAAGACTCCCTGGCCTTCAGCTCGTCTATAAAGACTCCCTGGCCTTCAGCTCGTCTATAAAGACTCCCTGGCCTTCAGCTCGTCTATAAAGACTCCCTGGCTTTCAGCTCGTCTATAAAGACTCCCTGGCCTTAAGCTCGTCTATAAAGACTGCCTGAGCTTTAGCTCGTCTATAAAGACTCCCTGAGCTTCAGCTCGTCTATAAAGACTCCCTGATCTTCAGCTCGCCTATATATGCTCCCTGACCTTTAGCTCGCCTATAAAGGTTCCCTGGCCATCAACTCGTCTATAAAGGCTCCCTGATCTTCAGCTCACCTACAAAGGCTCCCAGACCTTCAGCTCGTCTATAAAGACTCTCTGGACTTCAGCTCGTCTATAAAGACTCCCAAGCCTTCAACTCGACTATAAATGCTCCCTGACCTTCAGCTCGCCTATACAGACTCCCTGGATCGCAGTACACCTTTTAAGATTCCCTGGCCTTCAGCAGGCTTATAAAAGCTCCCTGGCCTTCAGCTCGTCTATGACTACTCCCTGACCTTTAGCTCGTATATAAAGACTCCCTAGCCTTCCCAAGGTTGTCTATATATGGGCTTCATTCTAAATATATTTGATGCACAGAAAACCAAGCCAAGAACTTCAATGGACCCGGCACTTTTTCTATCAAACCTCTGTATTTTTCGCCACGACCTTTTTCCAGCCAAAAAAAAACCTTTGAAACGTAAAACAAAAATATTCCTTTCTTTCTACACTTTATGGTCAAATTCGAAATCGTTGTCAATCTCTATCGAAATTCTTATCACACTTCAAATTCGTTTTGTTACCAAAGTATTTTGTTCGTTACCTTTTTCTTTGGGGAGTACCTTTGTTTGATTTTCTATTTTCAATTTTTTTTATAATTGAATTTTCAAAGATTAGATAACGAGTCAAATGTTTAATTTTGGATTACTTTCGGACAAAAGAAATGAATGGCATAGTTTTTGGTTCTAATCTGCTCAATTAATTAAAACTTCGGTAGCTTGAAAAAATAAAATAAAATAAAACCAATTTGGGTCACAATTACAGGTGACGTAGATAAAAGGACGGATTTAAAAGCTATTGAATGAATTTATCGGCTATTCGGTTTTCAAGTAAATAAAGTCTATATAAGTGGGAAAATTTTTATCAGATCTTTTTAAAATATATATATCTTTTTCTGACTGTCCTTTAAATGGATAACTTTCTATTGTTTAATTATAGACATGCAAATTTTATTGAGCCATCGAATGGACTCACCGTGGTCCAAATTCCACTGAGTGGATATTGAGCCGAAATTTACAAAAAAAAGAGAACAAATTGCATAAACTCTGCGGGTCAAACTGAGAGTTTTTTGAAACTGAGAGGCATTAGATCCGACAATCAATTAAATGTTCAAAAAGAGGAATACCCCAACGTTTCATCATCTTCCCCACATGACCTGCATATGCTGTTATCTGCACATCCTATTTTGTACAATAAGCCTGTAGGCCCAGGTGACCCGTAAGAATGCCAAAACAGTGGAAAAAAAACTTCGTAAAATAAGTTTTTCCAACTATTTCACTTTTAGAGTAAACTCTTCCCCTATTTCGGGCTTTTCGACTATCACTCTAATTTTTCAGAACAAAAAAAAACTAAAAAATCTTTAAAATACCGAATATTGCCGTTATAATGGGGTCTATACGAAGACGTAGGTGGATCTGCATAGGCAACTTTTGTCATAAGCCATTACAATATTTGAATACGAGCTGAAATCACCAAAATACCGAATTTAAGAAGGTACCGTTATATTGGGGCTATAGGGGCACCTGGACCTGCTTAGACAATTTTCTGTCACAGGCTGTAGTTCCCATTACGAATTAAAATACGAGATTTGAAACAATTCCGGTGAATAATGTGGCTTAAATCATCAAAATACTGAATATAAAGAGGTACTGTTAAATCGGGACTATACGAAAAACTGGACTTGCATAGAAAATTTTCTGTCACAAGTTGTAGTACCTACTAGGAACTTCAAATACGAAATTTCAAACAATTTCGGTGAATAATGTCGCTAATATCATCCAAATACCGACTATTGGGAAGTAATAGTATATGGGGGCTATACGAACACCTGGACCTGCATAGACAATTTTCTGTCACAGGCTGTAGTTCCCATTACGAACTCTAAATACAAAATTTAAAACAACTCCGGTGAATAATGTCCCTAAAATCGTCAAAATATCGAATCTCGGGGGGGTACCGTTGTATGTGGTCCATACGATATCGTGGACCTACATAGACATTTCTCTTCCAGAGGGTAAAGTGCTTAGAAAGAACCTCTAGTATGGATTTTTAGACAATTGCATTGAAAAATGTAGCTAAAATTATAAAAAATATCGTATTTTGGGAGGTACCGTTATATGGGTGATATACGATATCGTGGACCTATATATACAATACTGTTCCAGGGGGTAAAGTACTCGGAAGGAACTCCTTTTGTGGATTTTCTGACATCCCTTGAAAAAATTGGCTACAATCATCAAAATATCGAATATCGAGGGGAACCGTTATATGGGGGCTATAGGATATCGTGGCCGATATAGCCCATCTTCGAACTTGACCTGCCTGCAGACAGAAGACTGATTTGTGCAAAATGTTTGCTTCCTTATTGGAATTTTACGCTGATCAAAAATATATATACTTTGTTATGTTTATAATTATTATTTTGATGAGTTACAAACGGAATGACGAACTTATTCGTATTTAACTCGCACCCTTCGAGTACTGCCGCTCGCGGGAGAATTTCACTCGAGAGTAAAAACAAACAAATCTGAGCTCTGTATACGATAATCCACATTATTGGATTACAAATTCTCTAATGAGAGCGAGAGTCAGTTGGGTTACTGAGAGTTTGCAAATTTTTTCTCAGTTGATGGAAAATCAGCGGTTTTGTGCTCGATGGGGAAACACTCACAATTCTTGGCCAACTATTTAAAAATTTTAATTATTTTGCAGCTAATTTAATTGTTTTTTAATTTTTTTTTTTTTTTTGATATCATAAATGGAAAATTTGTTATCGTAGTAAAAAATTTTACATTCTTGAAGTATGAAACACTTGTTCCGGATTTGTTTTCGAAGTTGAAGTAAAAATTGCTTCATATCTTTTTATTTTTCTCACGCTTTCTTTGGAAATGTTAGGCTAACAAATTTATTCATTATCCTGATGCCAGACGCAGGCATGCCGCCTCAAACCTTAACAATTCGAATTCGGTATATGGGTTTCTCCAGACCTGAATATCTCTGGCCGACTGCAATATGTTTAATTTACTTTCCCCATCAAAGATAAAATTGCTCCAAAAATCAAGTGATTTAATTACGAAATTCGAATCTCCTTTTTTATAATGGAAAAAATCACTGAAGATTTCAAATATACCACATTTGTTTCCAATTAAAATTTGTATTTTCTTAAAGATCTTCCATTCTCCAAAGAAATCCCAATGCTATTTCAGCCAACACAACTGTACCATCCACAATATTCACATACGAATTAAATTTTAATGCGTTCAAAACGATTTCATTTCTTTTAGTTTTTTTTTTTTTTCATTCAACTTACAAATTGTACAAGCTTAATAATGCCAGGAACAGTTTGGAAATATCCAATATTAATCCTCAGGGCCGAGACACCGCCACCTGTGCCAGGAGCAGTGGTCTGTGTGGTTTGGGTACGTTCGACGGTAATTACGGTTTCCACCATTTTGTATTAAATATTTAAATTTTGTATTTAAAGAAAAGTAAAATTGAAATCACAACAAACTTTTTTTGTTTCGAAAATTCGTTAAATTTTACGCTCGACGAATATTATGACGGTTCTTCAAAGCTAACTTTTTTTCGTTTGTACCAATATTGGTTTTTTCGAAAAATTGTTATCGTTCGTTTCACTTGTTTGTTTTTGATTTATATTTTTTCTCTGTTTCTTCTTCTTCTTCTTTTCCTTCAGTTGATATATTTTTCTTAACTCAACTTTTTTTCCCGTCAATAGCTTCGTAGACAACCAATATGAGCGACGCACGTTTTATTACTAGCCAGCTAGCCTTACTAATTTCAGTTGCCTTGTTTCTGGCCCGTGTGAACAGCGAACGAAATAATGAACACTCGATATTTTTCTCTGCTCTGCTCTGCTGCCTGCCTGCCTGCACACACAATAATAAGTTAACAAAAATGTGGTCGCAGTTAACGTTGACGTTGTCTGTTGTTATTGTAATTATTATGGTTGTTGTTGCTATTGGTATCCACAATTCTCCTTCTCAAATCTCTCACAACGAAATTCAAATGACTTGAACGTTTCAATGTGTTGGTGTGTGTTGATGGCAGCCAACAGGTATTTATTGACGGGGGATTTTTGTTGACTCTCCCCACAAAAAGTAACTGCATTACTCTCATCTCATTCTCACAATTTCTTAGTAAGACATTTTCACTCTCTGTTATTGTGGAACTTATGAGATCATTTGTATCTTGTTTTGTTTTTTTTGTTCCATGTGTATTTCATGAATGTTAATCCAGTGATCAAACGGTTAAATCATTCAAATTCAAAATCGTAGTAGAACAGTGGGGTAAAATTATCAACAACAAAAAAATTTTGTAAAATTGTTACTGAGAGCTGTCTGTGAACATATAAGGTGTGTAGGATAATCCATTATTTTGTACAAAATGTTGTTCGACAACAACCCTATTAAATGAGACGCGTAAAGAGTAATTTTGGCAGTTGAGTTACAGAGAGTTTGCAAACACTTACTGAAAAAGTCTACTCAGTAATAAGTGTATCTGGTTACTTCTCCTGCAGGAAGTGTTAATGTGAGAATACATAAAACGCTTTTTTGACTGGCTTAAGTTATCGACTGGCTTATTCGTAAAAAAATCTTGACTTATGATTATTCAAATTGTAGATCCTTTATGGGGGAGCTTCCGAAGCAGTTGGACAATATTGATCAATTCGTATCTGTCCTAAGACTGATATAAATATTAAAAGGTGACAGATTTGGCCTATATCGACTACTTCCTATACTTTATATGAGATATGTGCAATTTTTTTGGAACATATGGAAATATAGCGGAACGAAGTATTCCATTTTCAAACTTCATCCAATACAGATAAAAATATTGGTATGGGAAAAATTATAAGAAAATCGAACATTTATATCCACTTTTATGCGAAATTGTAAATTCCGATAAATTACATATTCGTATTAGATTTCTGGTTAAGAGAAATATTTAGATATAGCAATTTGTAAAGAATCGCCGACTTGTTTCGCAAGTTATGCCAAATATAAGTATTGGAAATTGTAACCCTTGGTGGGTGAGGTACCAGAATGGGTTGGAAAATGTTTGTATGTGGGAAAAATGAGGAGATGGTTGAATAGATTTGGATACTTATTACGCTTTCTTTGAGCGTTTATCTTTTCAAAATCTTGAACCCTATGTGGGGAAGGAATGGTCATTTTCATAATAGATCTTGTGTTAGTGGAACTATTGATATGTGCCAAGTATGAATGGGGTCAGATGTTAATGTCGTGCTTTATGAGCTTCATGGATATTAAAAAATCTGATCCTTTGTGGGGATGTACCAGAGGGAGTGGGCTGATATATTCCATTTTCACGCCAGATCTTGGGTTTATAAAAATATTGTGATATGTGTAATTTGAAAATAATCGGACACTTACATCGCATTTTATAAGAGTTATATTATTCAAAATTTTGACCCTTTATGGGGGATGTGCCAGAAGGAATGATCCGATCTCTACCATCTTTATAACAAATCTTGTGCTGATGGAAATATTGAGATGTGCCAAGTCTGAATGGAATCGGATGTTAGTTTCGTGTATTATGAGCTTCATGATTATTCAAAATGTTGACCCTTTGTGGGAGAGGTACCAGAAAGGGTTGTCCGATCTCTACCATTTTTATAACATATCTTGTGTTGATAGAAATATTGAAATGTGCCAAGTCTGAATAGAATCGGATATAAATCTCGCGTTTTACGAGTTTTATGATTGTATATTTAAAATTCTGATCCTTTGTGGAGGAGGTACCACAAGGAGTAAACCTATATATCCCATCTTCACACCAGACGTTGGCCTAATTAAAATATTGTGATGTGTGTAACTTGATGAGAACCGGAGGCTTATATTGGATTTTATAATTGTTTTGGAAAATCAAAATGTTGACCCTTTGTGGGGGGAGGTGCTTGATGGAGTGGACCGATATTGTAGAATTTCGCACCTATACTAGCACTGATACAAATATTAGGATTTGCGAAGTTGGAGCAAAATCGGATCATCCTTTCTTCTTCTGTGCAGTAAATTATTTTCTTTGAAAATTTCAACCTTTTGTGGGGGAGGTACTAGAAGGAGTGGACCGATATTGCCCATCTCCGAACTCGACCTAAATTTGACAATAATATTGTGATGTTTTAAGTTTGGATCAAATCGGATACTCCCAAACAGACGGACGGACATCTTTAGATCGACTCCAAATGTCCTGAAACGGATTTGGTCCAAAGAGACCTATGGTCCAAAACAATTATTTCGATGAAGCACGTTTGTCCGTATCAAATGATATATACCCTCTGTAGCCATATGGCTGAGGGTGTAAAAAAACATAAACCATTTCCATGCACAAAGATACCGTCTTTCGAAACCATTTCGTGGCGCCCAACAGATTTTCATACATAAAGTTTCGAAAAATGCTAAACAAAAAGGTTGAAGTTTTGCGGCTACAGTCCCCAAATTGCAATCAATTTGGGGTCACAATAATGCTCCAAAAGAGTTAACTTTAAAGAGGTTGCCTGTGCAGGTCCACATCTTCGTATAGGCCCCATACAACGGCACCTCCTGATATTCGGTATTTTGATGATTTTAGTTACATTATTCACCGATTTTATTTTTCAAGTTTCGCATTTGAATATTGTAATGGCTTATGACAAAAGTGGCCTATACAGGTCTATATCGTCGTATAGACCCTAATATAAGGGCCACATTCGATATTTTTATGATTTTAACAGAATTTCTTACGGATTTTACAGAAAAATCTTAATAATACCTGCATCATATGAAGAGTCACTGGTTTCGGATTAACGATGATGTCCTTCTTTGTAATCCTTTCTGTAACCTAATTTAGCTTTTAATAAAACACACTTCCCATATTTATTTCAAATGTTCGTAATTTTTATTAAATCGTTTCACCATTTCTTCAATATTCTCCTACCATAGCCGAGAAAAATCTGCTTTGGACACCTTGGATCCATGGAATATAGGCCGAGACACGAGTATAGATCGAAGGCATTTGAGCCAAACCGCAAGGAATATAACCCCACGAGACAATACCAATCAATTCGGCATCACCTTTGTCAGCGAATTCCTTGACCAATGGGCCACCAGAATCACCATTACAGGCGGAAATACTTTGTTGCAAAGAATCGGAGCAAACATTGGTTTCATGCAAAGGAGCATCGTCGGGCAAGGTAGCCTTGCACTTATTGAATTCCACAATTTGAGTGGTCACCGTTTGCAGGGTACTGGCAGCGGTAAAGACATACGATTTAGGTTGACCCCAACCATACAAATGAGTTTCACCATCATGAATTTCCTCAGGAGCTGGCAGGGCCACCGGTTTTACCCATTCATTGAATTCGAAGGGTTGGGAGACATGTAACATGGCAATATCGTAGGGTCCCACACCGCCTGTGTATTTTTCATGCACTACACCATAATCGACAACACGAGCCTGGGTCTTTTCATCAAAGGTCGTACGCTTATGGAGACCAGCAACAATGCCCATACCCACGGGGTTGCTAATACAATGGGCAGCCGTAAGGATCCAGTTCTTGTTAATCAAACTGCCACCACAAATGTGCGAGTGTTTCGAGGTACGACTTAACGATACAATATAGGGAGCCGAGTGAGGTTCAGCATCTTCACCCTTGATGATGTAACCCGTAGCAAAACTGGGTATCAAACGTTGGGCTGCCGACGACAAGGAGCCAGCACTGGCATAGGCCACACACAAGGTCAGGACTACCACAAAAATTTTCATGTTGTCACTATAGGAATATACAGTTCACTGATATTTCTTGCGATCGAAGGCTGTTGTTTTTATAGGCACCCTAATGGGCGAGTTTGTATGGAGTTGTCCACTATCGACAAATCGAAATGATTTACAATTTTAGATTACGCCTGATGAAGATTATACTTTTTGGAATGCATTGGTTGTTGTTTTTTTTTTTTTTTGGTCGCTTATCAAGGTTGATTTAATTTTGTTTGGTGCACTTATTTGCGATGCGATATTTGAATCATTGCAATTTTGAGAAGTCTTCCAGGAAGAGAAAACTGTATGGCACTATTACGATATATATCCATATTCTCAGGCGGACATGGCAAAACCGACATACAGTCATATGGCTAGAGAGTGTATTTATCATTTGATACAGCCAAAACTCGCCTCATAGAAATAAAGGTTTTAGACCTTAGGCCTCTTTGGACCAAATCCGTTTCTGGGCATTTACAGTCGATCTAGTAATGTCCGTCCGTCTGTCTGTCTGGCTGGTACACACGGTAACTCTGGAAGAGAGTATCCGATTTGATCCAAACTTGGCACATCGTAATATTATTGTCAAACTTAGATCGAATTCGGAGATTGACAATATCGGTATTGGTAACTCCCTCTCAAAAGTTCGAACTTTTCAAAGAAAATAATTTACTGCACAGAGAGAGAAAGGATAATCCGATTTTGCTCCAACTTTGCAAATCCTAATATTTGCATCAGTGCTAGGCCAGGTGCGAAATTGGACATTATCGGTTCACGCCATCAAATACCTCCCCCACAAAGGGTCAAAATATGAATAATTCTTGGAATTGGAATAAACTCTAATAAAATGTGATTTAAGCGTCCGATAATCTTCAAATTACACACATTTCAATAATTTAATCAATAAACCAAGTTCTTGTGCTGGGATGGAATATATCGGTCGACTCCTTTCTAGTACCTCCCCCACAAAGGGTCAAAATTTTGAATTTTCATGAAGCCCATAAAACACGAAATTAACATGTGATTCCATTCAGACTTATTACATTTTAATATTTCCATCAATACACGATCGGTTGTAGAGATAGTAGAGATCGGACCATTCCTTCTGGTACCTCCCCCACAAACGGTCAAAGTTTTAAATAACCAAGACGATCATAAAATCCAAAATAATCAGCCGGTTCTTTTCATATTTCACACATCACAATATTTTTACTAACACAACATCTGATGTGAAGATTTGATATATCGGTCCGCTCCTTCAGGTACCTTCCCCACAAAGGGTCAAAATTTTAAATAACCAAGACGATCATAAAATCCAAAATAAACATCCGGTTCTCTTCATATTTCACACATCACAATATTTTTATTAACCCAAGGTCTGGTGTGAAATTGGGATATATATCGGTCTACTCCTTCTGGTACCTCCCCACAAAGGGTCAATATTTTGAATATCTATGCTGCTCATAAAACACGAAATTAACATCCGATTTCATTCAGACTTGGCACATTTTAATATTTCCATCAACACAAGATCTGTTGTAGAGATGGTGGAGATCGGACCATTCCTTCTGGTGCCTCCCACACAAACGGTCAAAGTTTAAAAAAACCAAGACGATCATAAAATCCAAAATAAGCATCCGGTTCTCTTCATATTTCACACAACACAATATTTTTATTAACCCAAAGTCTGGTGTGAAATCGGGATATATCGGTCCAAAACTTCTGGTACCTCCCCCACAAAGGGTCAAAATTTTGAATATTCATGAAGCTCATAAAACATGAAATTAACATCCGATTCCATTCAGACTTGGCACATCGGTTCTAGCACACTCAAATGACGGAACTAATTCTAAATAAAAACCAGTAAGGAAAAGTCGGGCGGGCCGACTATATGATACCCTACACCGCTATGCATATTTAGTAGAGCTCCTGTAACAAAAGAATGTATTTGAAGTAGATCATACCACCTATCGCCATTTGGTTTTGGAGCAGTTATAGTTTGGTTTCAGAGGGAACTAATATATGGGAGGCATATCCAATTCTGAAGCGGTTTTCACTAAATTTGACGGAGACATTTTAATCGTTTATACCAAATAATATTGCTATAGAGTTCATGATATCACTTCGAGAAGGATTTTTATTAAAAAATATAGCGGAGCCGAGTTCTACAAAATTGAAACGTACGGCCCGAAATTCAAATAATGATATTAGCCATTATTTGTACAATAAACCTGAAATCGGATTAAGGATATATATGGCAGCTATATCCAAATCTGAGTCGATCTCGATAAAATTTGGCAAAGGTATTTCCTAGCTCTAAAAATGTCCGGTACCAAGTATCATTGTTGTCGAATGCATATTATGAAAGCTAAGGATTTAAAGACCAAATCGGATGAAACATATATGTATGGGAGCTATAGCTATATCTGAAGCGATTTTCTCCGAATACGATGTATTTGCTTCTAGACTGAATTCGGTCTGATAGCCAAATTTCAGGTAATTTGAACTGATATTAACCATTTGGTTCACAATTAACCCGAAATCGGTTGAAGATATATATTGGAGCTATATATAAATCCGACCAAACTTGACAACATTTGATACACTTATTTCAAAACTGTATCTGATATCTGGTTCCAAAGTTCATTGTTGTGGAATGCATTTTACGCTTTGGAGGGATTTTAAACCCCAAATCGGATAAAACATATATCTTAGACGATCTTGAAAAAATTTGGCAGAGTTATTTCAGGGCTGTATCTGATATCTGATACCAAACATCATTCTTAGAATGTGGGGGACTTAAACACCAAATCGGATGAAACCTATATATGGGAGCTATATCTATATCTGAACGGAATTTCTCCAAATTTGAAGTGCTTGTTTCTAGACTGAATTCGGTCGGATGTGCCAAAATTCAGGTCATTTGGACTTATATTGGCTATTTGGTGCACAATTAACCCGAAATCGGTTGTTGATATATATGGGAGCTATACCCATATCTGAACCGATCTTGATAAAATTGGCATAGGTATTTTTGGGCTGTATCTGATATCTAATACCAAACATCATCCTTGTGGAGTGCATAGTATGAATGTGAGAAACTTAAACACCAAATCGGATGAATTAAATATATTAGAGCTATAGCTATATCTGAACCGATTTTCGCCAAATTTGATGTACTTACATCTAGACTGAATTCGGTCGGATGGGCCAAAATTCAGGTTATTTGGATTGATATTGGCCATATGGTGCACAATTAACCTTCAATCGGTTGTAGATATATAAGGGAGTTATATATCTAAATCTGAACCGATCCTCACCGAATTCAATAGGGTTCGTTCTTGGGCCGAACAAATATTGTTTTGAAAGTTTCATCGCAATCGGATAATAAATGGACCAAAATGCAGGTTCATAAATATACATGGACAGACGGGCGGACTGACATGCATAAATCGACTCAGAAGGTGATTCTATGAAGATCCTCAAAGTAACTATGAGTCTATCTCGCTTTCTTCTCCATGTTACAAATAAATGCACAAAGACATAATATCCTCACCACCATGTGGTGTAGGGTATAAAAAGCTTCAGCTCTTCAAACAGATGCTCGATATTAGGGTAGTTCAAATTCAGTGGTTTCGCGTTAAAAAAATATACTTTTAAGCCAGATATGAGCAGCCTAGAACGAAAAAGTATAAACAAAGCACATGTATTATCTATCAATTTTCATTTGCCATTGATTTGGCAGAACGTGAGATTCTCTTACTACTACTAAGGCAGATATTGTGAGCAAGGCAGCTTTAAGCGGTCTTCCTCAGGTAAAATATTTGGAAGAGCTCTATTAGAAGATTGCTAAATGTCTTTATAAAATAAAGCTGTTTCTTAAAGGTCCTCTTATAAAAGATCCTCTTCTGAAACTATTCGACAGATTTAATAATACTCTTACCCAATTCTTTGGAAAATATTATCCTCATAGTCCGAATTCGCTGCATTCCAAATATAAAAAAAACATGAGTAATAATAAAAAAAGTAAAAATAACTCCTTTCTTTCTTTCTTCTAGAAATCTGGCCAAAAATGTAAACAAAACAAAGTTTGAAATACCCTCATAAATCTTTTCCGAAAATGCCACACTTACTGATTATCGATTCTACGCAAATTTGATAAGCAGACTTATTGGCAAATCCAAAATCCACTAACTATTCGCTATAAAAACCCACAAATTTGCCCAGCTCGCCATCAGTCAGTCAATTCATAAAAAGTAGCAAAACGAAATGAAAAGCTTTGTGATCCTTTGTGTTTTGTTTGTGGCCGTTGCCACGGCCAATGCTGGTCATCTGCCATCATCAACGGTGGCTCAACGTTTGATACCCAGCTTTGCAACGGGCTACATCATCAAAGGTGAAGATGCCGAACCCCATTCGGCTCCCTACATTGTATCGTTGAGTCGTACGGCCAAACATTCCCACATTTGTGGTGGCAGTATTATTAACAAAAATTGGGTTCTTACGGCTGCCCATTGCATTAGCAACCCGGTGGGTATGGGTGTGGTTGCCGGTCTCCATAAGCGTACCAATTTCGATGAAAAAACACAATCTCGAGTGGTCGACTATGGTGTGGTGCATGAACAATATGGCGGTGGTGTGGGACCCTATGATATTGCCATGTTACATGTTTCGCAGCCCTTTGAATTTACTGAATGGGTGAAACCTGTTGCCCTGCCAGCTCCCGAGGAAATTCATGATGGTGAGACCCATCTATATGGTTGGGGTCAACCTAAGTCGTATGTCTTTACCGCTGCCAGTACCTTGCAAACGGTGACTACCCAAATTGTGGAATACAACAAATGTAAGGCCACTCTGCCCGCCGATGCCCCGTTGCATGAAACCAATGTCTGCTCCGATTCCTTGCAGCAGAGTATCTCTGCCTGTAATGGTGATTCTGGTGGTCCATTGGTCAAGGAATTCGCTGACAAAGGTGATGCCGAATTGATTGGTATTGTCTCGTGGGGTTATATTCCTTGTGGTTTGGCCCAAATGCCTTCGATCTACACACGTGTCTCTGCCTATATTCCCTGGATTGCCAATGTACAGAATTCCTATTACAAATCGCTTTAAGAGATTTTGTAAAGTGCAAGCCTGAAAAAAGGAAAAAATTTGTAATAAACATCCGTGCAAAATAAACATTTGTTTTTTTATTGGTTCATTGAAATTTTCAGGACCACGGGACAATACTCAAGTATGCGGTCGATATCAGAGCTCCGAAATGTGAGCGAATTTCAAGGTTATTTCGAACATCTATAGACAATTTTATACTTTAAGGATTGTCATCTGCCACATCTACGCCAGCATAATGAAGATGGAAGCGAGATAGACCCAAAGTTACTTTTGAGGATCTTCATAGAATCACTTTCTGAGTCGACTTATGAATGTCAGTCCATCTGTCCGTCCATGTATTCTTGTGCAGGTCGCATTTATTATCCGATTGAGATGAAATCTACAATATTTGTTTACAAAATTTATTTGGCCCAAGGACGAACCCTATTGAAATTGGTGATACTCGGATCTGGTTTATATATAGCTCCCATATATCTTCAACCGATTTCGGGTTAATTGTGCACCAAATGGCAAATATAAATTCATATGACCTGAATTTTGGTACATCCCACCGAATTCAGTCTAGAAGCAAGTAGATCAAATTTGGAGAGAAATCTGTTCAGATATAACTATATTTCCCTTATATATGTTTCATCCGATTTGGGGTTTTAAGTCCCTCAGACGCGTAATATGCACTCCCGTAGAATGATATTTGGTTCTAGATATCAGATACAGCTCTGAAATAAGTGCAACAAATTTTGTCAAGATCGGTGCAGATTCAGATATAGCTCCCATAAATATCTTCAAACGATTTTGGGTTTATTGTGCACCAAATAGCCAATATCTGTCCAAAAGTCCTGAATTTTTGATCATCCGACAAAATCTAGTCTAGAAGCTCCTATATATATGTTTCATCCGATTTGGTGTTAAAGTCCCTCACATTCGTAATATGCTCTCAACAAGAATGATATTTGGTACCAGTTATCAGATACAGCCCTCTATATATACCTATACCAAATTTTATTAAGTTCGGTTCAGATTTGGATGTACGTCTCATATATATCTTCAACCGATTTCGGGTTAATTGTGCACCAAATAGCCAAATGACCTGCATTTTGGTACATCCCACCGAATTCAGTCTAGAAGCAAGTACATCAAATTTGGAGAGAAATCTGTTCAGATATAGCTATAGTTCCCGTATATATATGTCTCATCCGATTTGGAGTTTTAAGTCCCTCACACGCGTAATATGCACTCCCGAAGAATGATATTTGGTACCAGTTATCAGATACAGCCCAGAAATACATCTGCCAAATTTTATTAAGTTCGGTTCAGATTTGGATGTAGGTCTCATATATATCTTCAACCGATTTCGGGTTAATTGTGCACCAAATAGCCAATATCAGCCCAAATGACCTGAATTTTGGTACATCCGACCGAATTTAGTCTAGAAGCAAATACATCAAATTCAGAGAAAATAGGTTCAGATAGAGCTACAGCTTCCATATATATGTTTCATCTGATTTGGGGTTTTAAGTCCCTCACATTCGTAATAGGCATTCGACAAAAATTATATTTGGTGCCAGATATTTTATAGAGCTCTGAAATGCGTTTACCAAGATTTGGATATAGCTCCCATATATATCCTTAATCCGAATTCAGGTTTATTGTGCAAATAATGGCTAGTGAATTTTGGGGACGTACGTTTTCATTTTGTGGAACTCGGCTCCGATAAATATTTGTTTAATAAAACTCTTCTCGAAGTGATATCATGCACTCTATAGCAATGTTATTTGGTATACAAGATATCCGTCAAATTTAGTGAAAATCGATTCAGAATCGGATATGCCTCCCATATATTAGTTCCCTCTGAAATCAAACTATAACTGCTCTAAAGCCAAATGTTGGTACGGGAGCTCTACTAAATATGCATAGTGGTGTAGGGTATCATATAGTCGGCCCCGCCCGACTTTTGACTTTTCCTTACTGATTTTAATATGCTCACTAAAGGCCGATTTTTCATTTTCCTCTTCGCTGCCCTAATTTGCACTTTTAAAGGAAAATATTAATATTTTTAATTGTTCGTTTATTTAGTTCTCTTTATTTTACATCAAAATTGTAAATTCATAAAGAATCCAGTTTTAGTTTTCTTTCATCTCGTCTACAATTTCTAATGGAAATTAATTAATTTATATATTAAATTATTTGCTTAAAATACAATTAATTAATTTTCAAAACAATTGTTGTCATTTCTATTCAAAAACTTTTGTTATATTATACCTTAACTTTATATTTATTATTATTTTATATAAATATATATTAAATATTTTTTATAGTTTGCATTTGCATAAAAATTTTACATTTTTGTTCCGCGCCCATTTGATGGCCAGTTTTTTATGACGATTGGAAAATGAACATCAAAATCCATTCCTAATTTATTTATTGGTATTTAATTGGAAAAGTGCTCATAAATTATGTGATTTTCTTCCGAGTTCGCTTTCGAATCGCCATACAGAAACGGTGCCTGAATGGAACCTTCTCGACTTCTCAATTTTGGGCCCAGAAAAAAAAACATTAATATTAATCTTAAATTAGAATTAAGCAAAAATAGTGTTTACGATATTGAATTTATTAAAAATTAGTTTAAGATAAGATAAATAAAAAAATATTATTTAACAAATATGTATATTTATAATTAATTTTACATTAAATGTAAATTAGTTTTTTTTAGTTGTAGGAGTGGCAGAAAACGGTGTTGTTGAGCGAAGCGGAGTTGCAAAGAAGAACGAACGAGTATTAAAGGCCATTTAATATGGAGAATAATTTTTTGACGAAGAATGTGAGACTTATCCTTCTTAACAGGGAAGCTATATTCTCACGTCTTCATGGAAAGACTATAAAACACCATGCAACAAAAGTGTAGATTTACGGGGCCACATTAGGATTCTGAACGGTTGTTTAGAGGAATTAGGTTTTGCCATTTCCTTTTTTTTGTTCTCTTTGCATTTTGTCAGCGACCTATTAAAACATAATATGTAATCGATTTTCACTGAATCGATTTTCACTAAATTTGACGGAGACATTTTAATTTTTTATACCAAATAAAACATTGCTATAAAGTGCATGATATCACCGAGTTCCACAAAATGGAAACGTGCGTCCCGAAATTCAATCCATTTGGGCTGATATTAGCCATTACCTGCACAATAAACCTGGAATCGGATTAAAAATACATATGAGAGCTATATCCAGATCTGAAACGCTCTTGAAAAAACTTGGGAGAGGTATTTCTGGGCTGTATCTGATATCTGGTACCAAATATGATTTTTGTCGAATGTATTTTACGGATGTGAGGGAATTTCATCCAAATCGGATGAAAAATATGCTTGGGAGCTATAGCTATATCCGATGTATTTGCTTCTAGACAGAATTCGGTCGGATATGCCAAAATTCAGGTCATTTGGACTGATATTGCCCATTTGGTGCACAATTAACCCGAAATCGGTTAAAGATATATATGGGAACTCTATCCAAATCTGAACCGATCTTGATAAAATTTGACAGCGGCATTCTCAAGCAGTATCTGATGTCAAATATCATTGTTGTCGATTCATATTACGAATTTGAGGGAGCTATAGCTATATCTGAATCGATTATGGGAGCTATAGCTGAATCGATTTCCCCTAATTTAATGTACTTGCTTCTATACCGAATTCAGTGGGATGTACCAAAATTCAGGTCATTAGGACTTATATTGGCCACAAATAACCCGAAATCGGTTGAAGGTATATGGGAGATACATCTTAACCTGATCCGCTCATCACCAATTTCAATAGGGTTCGTCCTTAGGCCTTGTTTGGAAAATTTCATCTCAATCGGATAATAAATGCGACCTGCATTTTGTTTACAAGAATACATGGACAGACGGACTGACATGCATAAATCGATTCAGAAAGTGATTCCATGAAGATCCTCAAAAGTAACTATAGGCCTAACTCGATTCCTTCTTCCTGTTACAAACAAATTCACAAAGACATAATACCCTTACCGCTATGTATAGGGTATACTATAGGGTATAATAACATTTTCAGGAATAATACAACCAATAAGAACCAAATGCAAACAATGCTTGAAAATCCGTCCATAGCTTGGGGTTGTACAAAGGAATCCAAACAAGATGTAGAGTCCTTTTGGAAAAATATAAACAATGAACTAAACAGTGCTGGACCACAAGTGAAATCTGTAGCTAAGGGAAAAAAGGAATTTGAATATACTATTGATCAGTAATGGTTGTTGCAAAAACTTAAAAAAAATAATGAAAAAGAGGTATATCCAAGCAAAAAAAAAAAAAATTGCTGCAAATGCAAGGCAACGAGATGCCAGGAAGAAGCCACTCTCATCCACAGAGGAGGGCATGTATGAATTGGTAAAAACACACAGAAACGAAAGTCAGTCGGAGAAAATGCCTGTCGGAGGATTTCTAAATCCGAATTGATTGAAAATTAAGTTAAAAAATGAAAGAAAAACTAAATTCTAAGATTTCTGATTTAATAGATATAGTAAAAGATGGAAACAAAGAAACCCATGGAATGATGAAACGAATGTGCACATCATTAGAAAAAAATAGTGAAAACCAGGGGAGCATCCAAATCAGCCATGTGTTTCGAAATGAATGATCGCGAATGTCCCGCGAAACCAACTTTTTTTCGAGGGGACAAAAAAAATCCAAGGGGTTAAATGTCCGCAGGGGTGAACATTTAACCCCCGATACTACCCGTTTCATATTGGACTTGAGAGAGAGTGCACACGATATACGAATGCCCTTCGCGACTCGATATTTCCATTTAAAGAGCCCAACGTGTACAGCATTTTGTGGATACACAGCTCACTAAATATAGATGAGCCATGGTGACACAGGTGCGCTTAAATACCCCTTTCTGTAGTGGAGTGTTTTTGGAAAACGAAACAACTACACATTGTGTAGTTGGATATTTAAGCGCACCTTTGTTGATTCCAAAATAAGCTGATGAAAATTTTTTCACATTCTAATTTTGTATAGCAAAACCCATGGAATAATAAAAAGGTATGGCATAGCAACTAGCCGATCACAATTTTTTTCTGGGTGGGCCCGACCAAATGTAATTTTACCGACCAGTATACGTAGTCCAGCTTGAAGGAGGTATCCGCCATGGAAATAATCAAAGAGATATACAGAAAAATCTTTTATTTTACGATCCTCCTCAATAACATCCTAAAATAGACGGCGTGAATCTTAATATGACATAGCCTTTTGTTCATGAGCAAGAAGACTTCAGACATGTTCCGTAGCTTACAGTCTCTTCGATTTTGGTTAGATTTTATAGACATTTGGCTGTGACCATGAAAGTGTTTTCGATACATAATTGCTGTAAAGTGTGTTCCTGAAACGTCATGAGCTTTAGAAATGATTCCTAGAACAGGTCCGTATATTTCGATTACATTTCGGAGCTACGTACGTCACTATCGTTCGGGATGCTGTTATACAAAGTTGCTCTCCCTCTTTATAGCCAAATGTTATCGTAAAATAAATTCACAGATGGTAAAAAAATAAAAACATACAAATATTTTAATGCCTATTTTTTTAAAAAATACTTTTTTTATTATTCAGCCATATTAACAGTTTATATAATTTTTTGTGTTGATTAAAAAAAGAGCTGTTCCCCTTTTTTCTTTTTTAGATTTTCGTTCCGCCGTTGCATTTGTGTGGTAATTTGTGGACAAAATACTTTAAAAAGTTGATTGTTAAAGTTTTGTTTTTTTTTTTCAAAATTGTTTTATGAATGATATTTAAAACAAATATAATCAAAGGGAAATTATAAAAAATAGGAATACTAAGAAGTTAAAAGAAATAATATGGAAATAATTAATAACTGAGCACAATTTTAAAACTAATAATAATAATCATATATAACAGTTACAGGAGGAGCAGGCATTTGAGAGGATAATAATTTAAAAAAATATATTTATTATTATTTTTTTTTGTTTTTTAAGGGGGAGAATTGATTGAGTACTTATGAAATACATTTTATGTGGACATTTTTTGTTGTTGTTGCAGTAGTGTTAAATGGATGTTTGATTTTTTTTTGTTGTGGTTGTTATGTTTTTCTTAGAAATTTTTACTAGAGTTTTAGTTTTGTTTGCTAAGTATCTTTCATTTAGTTGTAGATATTTCTTGTTGTTGTTGTGGTTGTATATATGTATATTTTATAGTACGTTACATGTTTTTTTACATATAATAAAGAGATGAGGATTTTTTTGTTTTGTTTTATTTCTTTTTGTTTTTCATTTTTAGAAAGGCCTTAGGGATCGTTCTTCTAACTCTTAATATGTTTTTTGTTTTTTTAATTTTTAACTGGTTTTTTCATAAATTAATGCAAATTGTTGTTGTGTTTTTTGTGTGTATTGTTGTTTAAAACTTCTGCTACACTTTACTTAATTGAGAAGTAATAAGAGTTAATCTTTACTTCTTTTAAAAAGTTTTTTTTTTAATTTTGTTAAACAAATTTTGAGATAAATTCCAAATAAAATGTGGTTAGTGCCTCTTCATTTTGGTTCTCTCTCTATAAATCTGTCTCTATCTATCTATTTCGTTTGTGTTCTAGGTGTTTCTTTTTTTTTGTTTTGAAATGATCTAACATTCACTTTGCGAAAAATCCACATCTTTTTTAACACTTCTCGCCAAACGATCCAATTCTGCTGCAGCATCTGTGCGTACCGATAGCTTATCGGGTGTTAATAGGCTATCCGAGCCATTTGCTCTTGGAGTGCTCATGGCTCCGGGTGGTGTTGCTGGAGAACCGGATTTTTTGTGCAACAATGAATTGAAGAAATTGGCCAAAACTCCCTCGCCGCCAGGTGTAACGGGGTTCATTTTAACATCAATAGGCTGTAAATAAGAAAAGGAGTAAAAGACTGTTAATGAAACTGTTGATAAGGTTTAAAATATTTTTTTTGGAATAAGTTTCCCATAATCTATAAATAAAAATTTGTAAAAAAAAAATTAATTCCATACATTTTGTAGGAAATTGGCAATAGTCTTTACTCTAACATCTAACGTGTTCCACTTTAAACTACAAATACCAGTAAGACCATTTGGGTGATGCTGTACATAAAGTGGGTGGGGCCGTTATATGGGGCCATACCAGAACGGTATAGACAATTTTATACTTCAACGATTGCCATCTACCAAATCTTCTTAAATACCAAATTTGAAAAAAATTCCGTGGGTAAATGTGACAAAGATGATCAAAATACTGAATATCAGCGGTTACCATTATATGGCGGCTATAGGAATACATGGACCTATATATACAATGTTCCGCCACAGAAGATGGAACCCATTTTGATCTACAAATACCAATTTTGAGACTAATCCGTAGAAAAATATGGCAAAAATCATCAAAATACCGAATATCGGGAGGTACTATTATATGGGAACTATACATAAACATAAACCTATACATACAATGTTTCGTTACCGGAGATGGAACGCATTATGACCTACATATACCAATTTTTAAATAAATCCATGGAAAAATGTGGTAAAAATCATGAAAATACCGAATATCGGGAGGCTCGTTGTATGGGGGCTATGCGTAGGCATGGACCTATACATACAATATTCCGCCACCGGAGCTAGAACCCATTATGACCAATTTTTAGATAAATCTGTGAAAAAATGTGGCAAAATAATTAAAATACCGAAAATCGGGAGATACCGTTATATGGGGTCTCTACCAGAACGTGGACATTTATATACAATGTTCCGCCAATGAAGCTAAAACCCATTATGACCAATTTTTAGATAAATCCGTGGAACAATGTGGCAAAAATCGTGAAAATACCAAATGTCGGGAATATCAAAATCTTGAACCCTATGTTGGGGAGGTACCAGTAGTAATGGTCCGATATGTACCATCTTTATAAGAGATCTTGTGTTGGTGAAAACATTGAGATGTACCACGAACTAATGGAATCGGATGTTAATTTCGAATTGTATGAGCTTCATGGATATTTAAAATGTTGACCCCTTGTGGAGGACGTGCCAGAAGGAGTGGACCTATATATCCCATTTTCGCAACAGACTTTGGGTTAATAAAAATATTGTGATAAGTGTAATTTGAAGAGAACCAGATGCTTATTTCGGATTTTATGATCGTTTTGGTTATTCGAAATTATAACCTTTTGTGGGGGAGATACCAGAAGGAATGGTCCGATCTTTACCATCTTTATAAGAGACCTTGCGTAGATGGAAATATTGGGATGTGCCAGGTCTGAATGGAATCGGATGTAATTTTGTGTTGCATTAGCTTCATGAATATTCGAAATTTTTACCCTTTGTGGGGGAGGTACCAGAAGGAGTAGAGCGATATATCCCACACCAGACCTTGCGCTAATAAAAGTATTGCTATATGTGAAATATGAAGAGAACCGGATGATTATTTCGGATTTTATGATCGTCTCTGTTATTCAAAACTTAGATCCTTTGTGGTGGAGGTATCAGAAGGAATGGTTCGATCTCTACCATCTTTATAACAGACCTTGCGTAGATGGAAATATTGGGATGTGCCAAGTCTGAATGGAATCGGATGTTAATTTCGCGTTTTATGAGCTTCATGGATATTTAAAATGTTTACCATTTGTGAGAAGGAGTGGACCGATATATTCCATCTACACACCAGATATGGGTTAATAAAAATATTGTGATGAGTGTAATTTGAAGGGAACCAGATGCTTATTTCGGATTTTATGATCGTTTTGGTTATTTAAAATTATAACCCTTTGTGGAGGAGATACCAGAAGGAATGGTCGGATCTCTACCATCTTTATAAAAGATCTTGATTTGATGGAAATATTGATATGTGTCAAGTCTGAATGGAATCGGATGGTAATTTCGTGTTTTATGAGCTTCATGAATATCCAAAATGTTGACCCTTTGTGGGGGAGGTCCAAGAAGGAGTGCTTCGATATATCCCATCTTCACACCATACCTTGGGTTAATAAAAATTGTGATGTGCGTAATTTGAAGACAATCGGACACTTACATCAAATTTTATAAGCGTTATAAATCTTCCAAATTTTGACCCTTTATAGGGGAGGTAGTAAATGGAGCACTAGCATTGATGCGAATATGAGAACATGCAAAGTTGGAGCAAAATCGGATTATAATTTTAATTGAAAATATTGACATTTTGTTGGGTAGGTACCAGAAGGAGTGGACTGATATTGTCCATTTCCGAACTCGATCTAAGTTTGACAATTATATTACGATGTACTAAGTTTGGATCAAATCGGATACACCCTTCGAAAGTTATCGTGCGCACCAGATTGACAGACGGACGGACATAGCTAGATCTGCTCCAAATGCCCTGAAATGACGCACGTTTGAGTTGTATCAAATGATATATACCCTCTGTAGCCACGTGACTGAGGGTATAAAAAGACTTAGGCAAATATTCTTGAACATAATTCTTTATAGAGGTTACCTATTCCGTCCGATGGACGGAAGAGCAGAATACTAAACAAAGGTCGGTCTCCTATAGACACAATACCTTTTAAAGGTACTCTTTAGATATTTGACTCTTTTAGGGTCTCTTTTGGACCAAGTGCTCCTTTGGATAGAAGGAATGGTTTTCCTATGGAGAGAAGGCTATATGGCGGTTTTCTATGTACGGAAGACATTTTAAATGTGTCCTATATAAAAAAGACAATTAAAAAGCTTCTCCGAAGACCTTTTAAAGGTCTCCCGTGGATGAATAACTTTTGAGGGACAGAAAATTATTTAAAAGCTTTTACCAATAAAATACCTTTCAAAGGCTTCACATGGACAGAATACTTTCCTCCTATAGACGGAAGGTTTTTTAAAGGGGACAAGAATACCTTACGAAGATCTTTTAAAGCTATCCCATGGACGAATAACTTTTGAAGGTATACTATGGACAGAAAACTATTTAAAAGCCTCTACCGATAAAAGACCTTTCAAAGTCCTTACATGGGCGGAAGCCTTTCTTCCTATGGACAGAAGGCTATATAACGGTTTCCTATGAAGGCCTTTCTCTTTCTGTGCAGTAAATTATTTTCATTGAAAATCTTGACATTTCGTGGGGGAGGTACGAGAAGGAGTGGACCGATATTACTCATCTCCGAACTCGATCTAAGTTTGACAATAATACTACGATGTATTAAGTTTGGATCAAAGCGAATACTCCCTTCGAGAGTTATCGTGCGCACCAGCCAGCCAGACAAAGGTACGGGCGGACCTCGCTAGATCTCCGAACTCGATCTAAGTTTGACAATAATACTACGATGTATTAAGTTTGGATCAAAGCGAATACTCCCTTCGAGAGTTATCGTGCGCACCAGCCAGCCAGACAAAGGTACGGGCGGACCTCGCTAGATCGACTCCAAATATCCTGACACGGATTTGGTCCAAAGAGACCTAGGGTCTAAAACCGTTATTTCGATTATCTCTAACCATATGACTGAGTGTATAATAACGGAATTCTACATATGGCAATTATGATAGACTTTAAAAAATATATAGTAGTTTTGCAAATTGGAATACATTTTTAAACGATTCTAGCTTAATTTGAAACTGTTGATAATTTTAAAAGATGCCTCCTTAGAACCCCTGTTGTTAGTACTTTTAGCAAATAAAAAATATACGGATGTATTGGAATGAAAATACTGTTCAGTACTTGTTGTTTTAAAAATAAATGAAGACAAATTAAGGCTAGGGAAATCGAACATCACGAAGAAAACCATAGTTCCACCAGATGATCATGTAAATACACTTAAACTAATTGTGGTTAGTTAGATTAAAACTAAAATGCTAATTGGATGTACAAAATAAAAATATGAAAGAAACAAAAAATGAAAAAATAAAACATGACTTCACCTTTCTACTGGGTGAATTTTGACCAGCTGAGCCAGGGGTACGGGGCATAGCTTTGCTAGCCTGCGAGCGTAAAGGCGATTCACTACGTACTTGACCGCCTTGTTTGATAATTTCCTGTTGTCGCGCCAAAAATGTTTGTTCATCTTCGGTAAGGACTTCAATTTCACTATTTGAAACGGTCTGGAAGTAATGAAATAAGACGTTACATTAGAAGTACAACCAATTAAATAATTAATCATGCAATTACCTTTCTGGAAGGTGGCGCGGTAATAATGTCTGTATAGTAATCTTCAGCTTTACAAGAATGCATATTCTCATATAAAATACTTATTTTCTTTAAGCTATCCCAACCGGCAGGACTGAAAATGAGAAATAAATTAGTCTCAGAAAATTGATGCAATGGCCAAATTGTAACCTACATTAGAACTGCATCTTTTTCAACGACTAGGGCAGGTGTTCGGAATGGTAGACCATAGATTCGATGTGTTAAATATTTATAAAGGAGATCACAGTTTTTGTCTTCTTTGACACTTGTGTAGAAGAGTGAGGTGCCATGTTGCAAACAAAAACGTCTTATCCACTGTTGTATGAAATCGAAATGTTCATCTCGATAGTCGTATTCTTTTTCCAAAGTAGTCATGTAGTCCGTCTGAAAAAAATTATGTGTGAAACAAATTAATTATAAAAAAATTACATCTCTCCAACTCACCTTTGTAACAACTACAACAATGTCCAGACCCAAATTTGTTAACAACGCTCCATCGGTCAGAGGCAGTAGATCATCATCATCTATGGAATTATTTCGCATGGTACGCTTAACCGGTGAGCCGGGATCCATATCATCGCCCACCTCACAATAACTCTGCCATGAGGTCACTAAACGTTGGCGGGCTTCTTCTTTTTCACCTGGCTCCAATTTCAGGGATTCAATGTGATCGGATAACACCTTAATCCAATGATTAAGCTGTTCCAGCCAATACCATGGCTGTGTCATTGATACTGTCAGTATGACCAATGTGTGTGCATAGTTCTGTTCATTTAAGGCAAAATGTAAGAGATTTTTATGACCTGGATCGCCGTCTAATACCCAAACACTTAAACGGGTCATGTCTGAAAGAAAGAAACAGAAGAAGATTTTTTTAATTAAAAGGAGAATGCACTTTACAAATCATTTAAAAAATCTTCGTAAATCAAAAGCATGTTCTATTAACACACGTACTTCAAAGGGTCTTTTATGTATTAATTTTTAAAGGTCGGACGAAAGACCCCTTTCATGTGGACAGAAGAGATGCCTCTAAAAGGTCTGCTATGAACATGATTTCTCCATTTTCTCCGTAGGATAAAAGATCCATTTAAAAAGAAAGAACTTTATAGGTATCTTGTGAATATAATTCTTAATAGAGGTTACCTATAGACAGGAGAACTCTTAAATTTTTCCTACGGACGGAAGGGTAGATCACCAATCAAAGGTCGGTCTCCTATGTACAGAATACCTTTTAGAGGTATTCGTTGGGTATTTGACTCTCTAGGGTCTCCTATGGACCAATGGCTCCTTTGGATAGATGGAATGGTTTTCCTATGGAGAGAAGGCTTTATAACGGTTTCCTATAGTCGGAAGACCTTTTAAATATATCCTATGGGAACAGGACAATTTAAAACCACCTCCCGTGGACGAATAACTTTTGAGGAACAGAAAACTATTTAAAAGCTTCTATCCATAAAGCATAGCTGAATGCTACCAGACGCGTCCACGGGTTGCGGAAAGTGGAACACCCGATAGATATATCGGGTTGCTGCGAATTAAATAAACAGTCATGGACGGCTCAGCGGTTTCCGGGGGGAGAGTCTCGGACTAAATTCCCCAGTGCCGGTGATCCCTGGAATCGACGAGGCGAACAGGCGACTCCAAACTATCCAGTCGACGGACTGGTCCACCGCAATGGACTCTTTAACGCTGGGGTATTACGTAAACCGTGCCCATCAGTGTTCCAAGGTTTGCTGACAGGGTACCGACTGTATTCAAACGGTTGCCTCAGGCTTACTTGCAAAGTCCTTACTATAATAGGGAGGCTATGTCATGGAGAGAATCGTCACCTCCACAGTCCAAAACTTTTATGGATATCGATATCAATACAAAAAAAAAAAAAAAAACAACAAAACCAAACCCAGACACAGATTCAACCCTCTCATTGGAGGCATCGACCCAGGACACGGCCACGGATATGATTATAAATGCGGGTGGGGACTCGACCCTGTTAACCTACAGAGACGTTGTATGTGGGAACATACAAAAACACAGAGCAAACAGCTGTCCGTTCTTCTGAAAAAAAAACAGAATCCTGAGACTTAGCCAAGAGAATGTTCCATTTGGCTCTGTGAATGATTAACCTCTCTCATATTAGGAGTTCGACGTCACTCTCATACCCTCATCTCATAAAGATGAAGCAATTCAAAAACCAGGTGAGGTTAATTCAGGACGAAATAGATCCAGCGGCACACACCGATGCGGTCAACCCTCGGATGCAGGAAGCCATAGTGGAAGGTGATATGGAGGGTACCTCACCCACCAACAACCCAAACAACCGCGATGACTACAGCTCGAAGGAGGATAAAGCAAGAAGGAGGTACAAGCGGTCAGTTAGGTACTGTAAGAGGTTCCACGACCACGACACCCTACAAATTACGTAGAGAGAACAAACCCTAATCAGGGTGAACATTAAGGCAGTACGGAAATTCGAAAAGAATCATCCGTCCAAATCGGGACCTCTGGACCCGGAACACCCCACCTTTTAACGGCATAGCCGTCTATACAAATGGTTCAAAGATGGAAAGTAGAACGGGAACTGAAGTCTTCTGTGAATGCTTAAATATCTGCGCAACGACTTCAGCGTTTTTCAGGCAGGAATCTTTGACATCAGGAAAGCCACGGAGCTGTTGGAAAACAGAATCAATGAATTAATCTCTCTTAATTTTGTTACTATCAAATCTATGGCTGTTCTGGAATGCAAAAATGTTTTGAAAAAGTTTAAGAAGTCTGTCAAACTTTGTTTGTCCCTGGTCATTGTAACATATCCGGCATTGAATCAGCAGATGAATTGGCCAGAGGTGGATCTGAGTCAGTAGATTTAGAGTTCGATCGTCACTTCTTCCAAGTATTACATAAGCACTACCTTGGAGATTCAATCAGACCTGGCTGATTAGAAGTGGAAATAATATCTCAAAAAAATATATATGACCGGTGATCTCCTATGTATGGAAGATCATTTAGAATCCTCAATGATTAAACTACCTTTTAAAGTCTTCTATGGTCGGCAGATATTTTACAAATTTTTTAGGTCTTTAAAGGTCTCCTAAAGACATGTTAAAGGGTCCCTTATGAAAAGACCTTTTATGGGTTCTCCACAGACAAAACTCATTTCAAAGAAATTTGTGGATGGAAGATCATTTAAAACCTCCAATGGATAAAAAACCTATTACAGCCGTCATTTTACAGGTCTCCTTTGAACTAGAGACCATTAATCGTCTCCCCAAAAGCCGGTTAAGAGGGTTGCCTCATGAAAATATATTTTAAAGGTTTTCTACAAGCAAAAAATATTTTAAAGAAGTTGTCTTCTTGTCTTGTCATAAAGGTCTTCTTTATAAAAGAAGGAGGTCTTAAGTGGATAAAAGACCTTTTAAAGCTTATTTGGATAGAAGACGTACTGCCAAGAAACTTTTTGTGTAAAACGCTCAAAAAAATTTTTTTTGATAGAAGACTGCCTAATTTGGCTTAAAACACCTCCTAAAATTTTCTGAGGATGACACATAATAAAAGAAGACCTAGCTTTGTTATTATAAACTTACCATCTCTGTATTCATCCTTGACATCGATGTAGGCATATTCCAAACCTGAACCTTTTTTAGGGTTTTCAACACCCTGAAGTTTGGCCACCAGTGTTGTTTTACCAGTGGCATTATCACCCAATACTAATACCGATTTATTTGAGGGAAGTTTTGTGCTGCCTTGTTTTTGGACTTCGCTTAATATAGAAGACCTGAAATAGACAAGAGGAAAGAAAAATTAGAATAATCAGCATTTCACAGTGGCATGACAGTAATTCTTCTCAAAAACCATAATTATGTGTGATAAAAATAAAAAAAAACCTGTCTGGATATTTATGATGTGTAATTATCCGCTGGATTTATAGACCATTATCCTAGCGCCCACTCTCTCTGTCCCTCTCTCTACAATTTACAATGAAATTGAGTCATGTCCATCACACCGCATTCATGTTGTGATGGTAACAATGTGGTCACTTTTTGAGAGTTTCCTTTCCTCGTTATGATAGACCTTTGCTACACATAAGTTCCCTTCCAGTTGTCATTAAATATTTATGCACTACCAAATTGTCCTTACTTTTTCCTTTTTAAATTTCCACCGCAATTGTTGGCCAATTGTAATTTATTTATTTCCTTACTGAGTAATTCGAAAACATTAAATTCATCATTAGCTTCCGTTTTTGCCTCGATTTGTCTACACAATTCTTTCATTTTGTTTATATTTCAAACACACGACACAATAATTTTGAAATCATGCAAATTTCATTGAATACCAGATACGACGACGAAGACCGCGTGTTGGTGTTGTCCTCGATTCACTTGACTTGCAAGGAAAATGGTTAACAAATTTCCCAATTTAATTAAATTACTTTTCATTCAATTGCCTTTGAATTGAATGTTTGACCACTGCGTGCCCTCTAGTCTAGTTGCGTTATTCGATTGTTTACTAGCCGCCCGCAGGATATTAGTGCTTGCCTTTTCCTTTTCTCTTCACTCAGTTGTTAAGGATACCACCAATTGAAGTGGTTGCTTGACAGTAGACCGCATGCCAATGGGCTAATAACTTTTTTTTGTTATCGTGTGCGTGTGTGCGTGTAATATTCAAATAACTGTGAATGAGTTAAATATTGAAATGAGCTTCAATTTCAAATTTATTATTCTACGATAGACCTCTGTATGATTGGTCTGTAATTTTGAATTGAGTGTATTTCCATTTGGTGGCTGATATTTGTTGCTCTCCAAATATTTAATGGAAATTTCATTTATATTGATTTTCTTGCTGTTTTTCGCCTCCCCCCAAAAACAAAGGTGTCATTGTTAAATAACAAGAAAACACTAGCGTGCTGAGCTCGAGTGGGCAGGAGCGTAGCATTATTGCAGGATAAATTTAATTTAACACAAGCACAAAAAGGAAGTAAAATAGTATCAGTCGGTTTTACCGACAGATGTATAGCCCCAGCCTTGAGTTATGATTATTCAAACTGTTGACTCTTTTTGGGGGAGGTTCCAAAGCAGTTGGCCAATATTGACCAATTCGTATCTGACCTAAGTCTGCTATAAATATTACAACGTACCCGATTTGGACTATATCGGCTACTTCCTATACTTTATATGAGATATGTGCAAATTTTTGGAAAATGTGGGAATATGCGTGAGGTTACAGATACAGGTTACAGCGGACCGAAATATTACTCCATTTTCATACTTCATCTAATACAGAGAAAAATATGGGTATTAGCAAAAAAACAAGAAAATCGAACATTCATATCCAATTTTATGCGAAATAATAAATTCCGATAAATTATAAATTCATATCAAATTTCTGATTAAGGAAATATTAAATATAGCAAGTTGTAAAGAATCGCCGACTTATTTCGCAAGTTACGACAATTATAAGTATTGAAAATTGTGACCATTTTTGGGTGAGTTGCCAGAAGAGGTTGGCAGATGTATATCATCTTCACAACAGAACTTGTGTTAGCAAAAATATTTAGATATATGAAATTTAAAGAGAGTTGGATGCTTATTTCGGATTTTTTTGATCGTTTTGTTTTTCAAAATCTTGAACCCAGAAGAAATTGTCCGCACTTCACCACCTTTATTACAATTCTTGTATTGATGGAAATATTGAGATTTGTTAAGTCTGAATGAAATCGGGCGTTATTTTTGCGTTTTATGAGCTTCATGAATTTTCAAAATTGTGACCCTTTGTGGGGGAGGTGCCAGAAGGAGTGGACTGATATATTCCAAACTCACACCAGTCCTTGGGTTAGTAAAAATAGTGTAATATGTGTAATTTGAAGAGAACAGAATTCAGATTTTTCAGATGGTTATGTTGATTCTTTTTGGGGGAGGTACCAGAAGGAATGGTCCAATCTCCACCATCATTATAACAGATCTTGTGTTCATGGAAATATTGGGATGTACAAAGTCTAATTGGAATCGAATGTTAATTTCGAGTTTTATGGCCTTCATGGATATTAAAAAATTTGACCATTTGTGGGTGAGGTACCAGAAGGAGTCGACCGATATCTTCCATCTTCACACCAGACATTGTGTTAATAAAAAATATTGTGCTGTGTGTAATTTGAAGACAATTGGACTCTTACATCGCATTTTATAAGAGTTATAATTATTCACAATGCTGACCCTTTTGTGGAGGTACTTTATCGAGTGAACCGATATTGTAAATTTTCGCATTTTCGATCTAGAACTGATGATGATTGGAGCTTAATCGGATTATCCTCTCTTTCTGTGCAGTAAATTACTTTCTTCGAAAATGTTGATATTTTATGGTGGAGGTACGAGAAGGAGTGCACCTATATTTCCCATCTCCGAACTCGATCTATGTTTGACAATAATCTTACGATGTATCAAAGTTTGGATCAAATCGGATATTCCCTTCGAGAGTTATCGTGCGCACCAGCCAGACAGACAGACATACGGACGGAAGGACATCGCTAGATCGACTCCAAATGTCCTGAAACGGATTTGATCCAAAGAGACCTAGGGTCTAAAACCGTTATTTCGATAAGGCACGTTTTGGCCGTATCAAATGATATACCCTCTGTAGCCATATGACTGAGGGTATAATTAAGAGACTATTCTATGGTACGACCTTTTCTGGTTGGGTTCTCTACCAATATACGGGTATAATGTGTAATGCTATTGTGGTGTTGTGTTGCTGATGAAAATCATGCAAACATGGATTCCTCTAATGATGGGGTAGAGTAAAGCCTTTACTACTGGCAACTATATCAAAATTTGGCTACAGTAACGGACCATCCGGCCTATTTTCCAGGCTTTAGCGGAATACTCGACTCTCAGCCCTCAAAATTCTCAACCAATCGTTAAGTGTGATGATTCATTTTTGGCGTAAAGAGATGTTTTGCGACGTAGTACTCTACTTTTCGGCCTATCGATTTCGAGTTGCTCAACAAATGGGCGATTAAAACGGCCAACGTACCCATGCAGATCATTTACCTTTATGTTTTTTAAACGTGACTACGTTTTTGTTTCAGTGACCTTCACAGTGAGTTCGCTGACCTCGGATCAGTAGGATTAGAAAGACGAATCTCATTAAGCCCATCATATTATAAGTGGATTTTTGTGAGCCCAAACGTAACCGAGGAGAATATGCATTTCAAGTACATATCTAGAATTGTACCTCGCATTTTACGCAATTACAGTTTTTAATAAAAAACAACACGACCAAACTATGAGCAGCTCTGTTAGATGAGCTCCTTGAAAATAAGAGCACATTTTCTTCCCTCTTCTTGTAAAGAAAAGGAGAAAGACAAAACGGCCATGAAGGCTTTGTATTACTTTACTCAGGTCTGCTTGTGGAGTGCAGATTGATACGACCCTTTTTAGCTTTGTCTAACTTGTGTCTGAGAACCTTTTTTCAAACATTTGTACACCATAGTATGTCCAGGGTGAAAAATTGTCTCATAGATCTATAAATGGCATCCAAAACCACCCAGGAGCTTTTGTAGGAGAAAAGTGTTACATAGCTTCCATTAATAATAACAAGGCAATTGGGCTTCAAAGATAGCTTCAAAATTTCACCAACCAGCCTCGGTAGCAAAAGTTTTGATAGTTTTTTTCTCCTTTTGAAAAAGACACCATAAGATCGGATTCCTATTTTTGATGGGTTTCCACCCAGCCAACTGTTGGAGGCCCGTGTTGAATTATTTCCCAAATTGTTTATGGAAATTTGAACATGTTGTCATATTATGTTCCTTTTTCCAAATTCCTCGAGAATTACCCAGATAGCATAGCTAATGGAAATACTGGTTTATTTGGATCGTAGGACCCAAAAAAAGTAGTTCCAATAGAACGCTTCATTTACTGTCAATCCCCCAAATCAACATTTTAGTACGCCTTTGACCTTTGCATGTTGTTTACATTTCAGTCGTGGATGGTGGCTGGCTAACTTCAAAGAAATTAGCCCGGTTTTGTCATGAAAAGAGCTAGAACTGTTATCCTAGCAGTGTACAATTCGATATAACAACAATTCAAGCGATGGTGGTCAGGAGAACTAGCATATGAGTGAGTTTTTTTTCACACAATTCATTCATACAGTTTGCGCCGCCACTCGCCAACCGTTCTAGTGAGCGGTCGCTATGGTGCCCAATGGTGAAAATTTCAACACGAAGCTATGAGAAACTTAAAGGACTACAGTTGAAATAATTCGGTGGTGGCTCTCAAAGTGAAAAGTTAAAAAATTGGATTATTGAAAGAAAAAAAAATAGTGAATTGTGAAAAAATAGAAATTTCCAAAAAGCTAATCATGAGTCTATTACCCAAACGCAGATCTCGTAGTGAAACACGAGATTGTGCTGCAATGAATAATGAAAATAATGCAATTCCCATAAATAATGGGGCCTTGCTTTGGGGAAAAGTTCGTCAAAGTAGACAATTGGATAAAACCCTTTTCATCGGAAGTATGGGTAAACGTCGTACATCGGCCGAAATGATAAGTGAGGCTAAAACATTTTTAAGTGGTGGAGGAGGAGGAGGAGTTGGCGACGTTGCTGGTTCCATGAATAATTTGAATTTCCAAAAACATCAATCCCAACAATTTCAGGCCGCAAATGGTAAATTCAAAAAAATATATACAAATTGAAAATTCTGATGGCTAATGAGTTCATTTCGTTTCGTTTCTGGCCTCATAGTGGTCGGTGGGGTACGAATGGTGAGCACACGACGTCCGGTTACACCCCGTGAAACGGGTCGAGTATTATATGGTAAGGTGGCCATGGCTGGCCGGCCACCCAGCTCATTTTCGTAAGTACCCGTGGCAAAAAAAGGGCATAGATAATTTGTTGCCCCACAACACGAAATGTAAAATTTTGCAACTATCTGTTAATAATTTATAGGTTGCGTTATTTGCGAAACGGTGAAACGGCTGGTGTTGGTGCAGCAGCGCCTCGAACACCAAACTTAGAACCCATACAAACAACAGAAGAAGAATTACAGCAACAACAACAACAAAACGTAAATGAAGACCGGGGAGGAGATAACAACAATGTTGGTGTCGTTGTTGATAAACAAATAGTGGGTAAAACTAAAGCCATTGATGCCGAACTGACACGACGTTCTAGGTCCTTTGAATTGCACCACAACAATGACAGCTTTGACAGTGGTAGTGGTAGTATTACAAATACCCCAACCAATGCAACAATGGTTAATGCCAACAATAAGCCATTGCCTCGTAAATTACCGGCATTAGAAGTCAAAGGCAATTCATTAAAGAAAGGTAAGTTCACTTTGATGTGTGAAAAAGGAACCTTGACAATAATGGCCATTTTGTTAATCCAGACAACTCCCCCATACGACCACCGAAACAATTAAGAGCCAAAACGGCTTATTCCGTTGATTCATCATCGAAAGGCATTGAAAGTTCCGTTGCTGTCATTGATGCAAATGGTGCCACCAATCGTGCCTTGACACTTTTGGAAACTCGAAAAATTCTCACCCGTTCCAATGACTTGCTGGGCCAGTCTTCAACGGAAAAATTGATAGATATGCTGAAGGAGCATGCCGGCTTGAAAGAGTGCACCGATGAGACGGTTAATCACATTAATTCGGTAAGTACTGGAAAATATAGGGTAAAAGAGTTATAGATTTAAGTATTAATAACAGACTACGAAGGTAAACAAAGTCCCTATTTATAAGGGCAATGATCTGTTCTATATGGAAACATGCTGATTATCGATGCATGGCTCAGGTCCATTCAAAAAGTTATTAAATTTAAAAACGTAGAAATTTACAAAAATTTGATTTAAATGTTAGCCTGAGGAGCGTGGCTCAGGTTCATTCAAAAAGTTAATAAATTTAACAAGTAAAAAACTATAAGTTTGGCCGGGACAAACTTTGAATACCCTCCACCATTTGGAACAAATTTGGCAACTTTCAAAAAAAAAATCCGTTAAAAAATCTGCGAGCTGTACGAAGTCGTGGACCTGTAAAGACAATCTTCTGTCGTAGGTTGTAGTATTCATTACTAACTTCAAATACCAAATTTGAAACAATTCCTGTGAATAATGTCGCTAAAATCATTAAAATACCGAATATCGGAATCTACCGTTATATGAGGGCTATACGAAGACGTGAACCTACACAGACAATTCTTGTCATAGGCTGTAGTATCCACTACGAACTTCAAATACCAAATTCTAAACAATTCCGGTGAATAATGTCGCTGAAATCATCAAAATACTGAATATCGGGAGATGTCGTTATATGAGAGCTATACGAAGACGTGGACCTGCAAAGACAATCTTCTGTCGTAGGTTGTAGTATTCATTACTAACTTCAAATACCAAATTTGAAACAATTCCGTTGAATAATGTCAATAAAATCATCAAAACACCGAATATCGGGAAGTACCGTTATATGGGGACTATACGAAGACCTGGACTTGCATAGACAATTTTCTGTCGTAGGCTGTAGTATTCATTACGAACTTCAAATACCAAGTTTGAAACAATTCCGGTGGATAATGTCGGTAAAATCATCAAAATATCGAATATTGGGAAGAACCGTTATATGGAGGCTAAATGAAGACGTGGGCCTGCATATCCAATTTTTACCATAGGCTGTAGCACCCAAATAGTACGAAATTTGAAACAACTCCAGTGAAAAATGTCCCTAAAATTGTCAAAATATCGAATATCGGGGAATACCGTTGTATGTGGGCTATACGATATCGTGGACATACCGGACAGGGGGAGGTACCAGAATGAGTGGACCGATACATTCCATCTTCGCATCAGATCTAGTGTTCGTAGAAATAATGGGATGTGTGATATATAAAGAAAGCCAGATGCTTATTTCGGATTTTATAATCGTTTTGGTTTTTCAAAACTTTGACCCTTTGTGGGGCTGGTACCAAAAGGAAAAGCCCGATCTCTACCATCTTTATAACAGATCTTGAGTTGATAGAAACATTGAGATGTGCCAAGTCTGAATGGGATCGGATATTAATTTGGCGTTTTATGAGTTTCATGGATATTCCAATTTGTGACCCTTTGTAGAGGAGGTACCAGGAGGAGTGGTCCGATATATTCCATCTTAACACCAGACCATAGGTTAATAAAAATATTGTGATGTGTGTAATTTGAAGGCAATCGAACAACTGTTACATCACATTTTATAAGAGTTACAATTATTCAAAATGTTAATCCTTTGTGGGGGAGCCACTTGATGGAGTGGACCGATACTGTCCATTTTCGCACCTGGCCTAGCTCTGATGCAAATATTAGAATTTGCAAAGTTGGAGCAAAAACGGATAATCCTTTTTTCTGTGCGGACCTTTTTTGGGGGAGTTACCAGATGGAATGGACCGAAATTGTCCATCTCCGATCACGATCTATGTTTGATAATAATATTACGATGTAACAAGTTTGGCCCAAATGGGATACTCCCTTCGAGAGTTATCGTGCAAACCAGCAGTCGCTAGATCGACTCCAATTGTCCTGAAACGGATTTGGTCCAAAGAGACCTAGGTTCTAAAGCCGTTATTTCGAATAGGCCATAAGACTGAAGGTATAAAAAGGTACTCGCCACATTTCTATTCGAATCAAGACTGATTTTTACTTTGCCAATTCTAAAGTAGAGGGATAGTGGCTTCAACAACGGAGGAAAACCCAAGACAAATACAAAGCCGAAACTGAAAAAGAAATAAAATATTAAATAATCACATCTGGTTGAACTATGAAGAGATACTTTACCACAAAAAAGAAACGACTTCAATGCGATAAAAATACTTCCTCCTTTTTACAAAAAGTTAAATTTTGTTAAAAAATGTGGCATTTCTATACAAAGTTTGTGCAAAAAATATTCAAATATTTTCGATTGAAAAATAAAATTTATTTATATCCACATTGATATCGAATTAAATCTTCTTTGCAGATTTTGACAGAACTATACAATCGTGTGCACAAACATGAAGACAACTTCAAAAAAGGTTTCATATTGGGTGGCCTGTATGGTTTGGTTGAATGTACAGCACCCAAGATATTGTTGTCTGTGGCAAGAGTAGTGTTGGCGGTGAGTAATGCAAAATATAACATTTTAATTTCCACAATTATTAATTCATTTTTTGTTTGTCCCTCCCACAACAGTTGCGTGTCTCCGGCAGCAATTTAACGGGAGCCTGTAAACTCATTTTCAAAGTGGCTCGCAACGAACAAAATGATCATTTGTTCCATGAAAACGATATCTTGGAGTTATTGATTGATGGCCTGGGTCGCGCCAGCCCCTTGGATGATCCCGAAGCATGTATTTATGGTTATGGTTCGATACGTTTCCTAACGTGTAGCACAAATCAAGAGCGGGCTGAATTGACAGCCATTAAGGATTTAAATCGTAATTGGTCCGAACAGGTTGAGCTGCCAAGGAAACCAAATACCGCACCAAATTTGGGTGAATATCCCAAAGTGAGTAGTGAGAAAAGTAAAACCGAATATGTCCAAAAGTTATCGAAACAAGATGCCTTGGTATTACGTCTATCGCGACATGGTGCAGTGCAATTGATGATTCTGCACTTGCAAATGTTAAATGAGGCGGGAGCGGCCCGCAAATTGGAGGGACCACCTTTGCATTCGTTATATCAGTTGTCGGCTGCTCTGCGGGCATTGGCTGATGTACGCAAAATTATATCATCTTTGGAAAGTTTAGATATCTCACGGCCTCATTTTGATAATACCAGTATACATTTGGAATTGGCATGTCCGCATTTGATAAAGGCCGCCGAGGTGACAATTGGTGAAATAGAGGTGCAGGCGAACATTATAAGGACATTGAGGTGAGAAGCATTTAAAAGTAATTTGTATGTTGTATTAATAAACAAATTGATTTCATAGTGTTCTTTCGGAAGACTGGGATTGTTGCCATGCCATGGAAAAGTTTGCACCCCGCATTGGCATGTTACTGGGACCCTGTTGCACCAATCACAATACTACCAATGCTGAGAAAATGCTAAGCATCATAAGTCGTCTGGGTTATATTTTGGGAAATATTATGACCAGCTATGATTTGGCGAGAATTCAGGTAAGTTACGTACTTGCAATTTTATGCACTGGTTTATAAAAAACTGCGAATATTTAAATATTCTAAGGGAAATATTTAGATACAGCAAGTTGTATAAAATCGCCGACTTATTTTGCAAGTTATGACAGATATAAGTATTTGGAAATTGTGATCCTTTGTGGTTGAGGTACCAGAACGGGTTGGCACGTATATTACATATCATCAAATTTGAAGAGATTTGGATGCTTATTTCGTTTTATACCGTTCTGTTTTTTTAAATCATGAATGCTATGTGGGGGAGGTACCAGAAGGAATGGTCCGATTTCTACCATCTTTATAACAGATCTTGTGTTGATGGAAATATTTAGATGTGCCAAGTCTAAATGGAATCGGATGTTAATTTTGCGTTTTAAGAGCTCCATGAATATTCAAAATTTTGACCCTTTGTGGGGGAGGTACATGAAGGACTACTCCTATATATCCCATCTTCACACCAGACCTTGGGTTATCAAAAATTTTGTGATGTGTGTAATTTGAAGAGAACCGCATATTTATTTCGGATTTTATAAACGTTTTTGTTTCTCAAAACATTGACCCTTTGTGGGGGAGGTACGAGAAGGAATGGTCCGATATCTACCATCTTTATAACAGATCTTGTGTTGATGGAAATATTGAGATGTACTAAGTCTGAATGGAATTGGGTCTTAATTAATCGCGTTTAAGAGCTCCATGGATATGCAAAATTTTGACCCTTTGTGGGGGAGGTACCGGAAGGAGTCGACCGATATATTCCAACTTCACACCAGACCTTGGGTTTTTAAAAATATTATGATGTGTGTAATTTGAAGAGAACCGGATACTTATTTCGGATTTTATGAACGTTTTTGTTATTCAAAACTTTGACTCTTTGTGGGGGAGGTACCAGAAGGAATGGTCCGATCTCTACCATCTGCATAGCAGATCTTGTGTTGATGAAAACATTGAGATGTACTAAGTCTGAATGGAATTGGATGTTAATTTCGCGTTTTATTACCTTCATGGGTATTCAAAATGTTAACCCTTTGTGGAGGAGGTACCCGAAGGAGGGGACCGATATATTCCAGCTTCATACCAGACCTTGTGTTAATAAAAATCTTGTGATGTGTACAATTTGCAGGCAATCGGACTCTTACATCAAATTTAATAAGAGTTATAAAATTTCAAAATGTTGACCCTTTGTGGGGGAGCTACTTAATGGAGTGGACGTATATTGTCCATTTTCGCACCGGACCTAGAACTAATGCAAATACTAGGATTTGCAAAGTTTGAACAAAATCGGATTATCGTTACTTTTTCTGCGCAGTACAATATTTTCTTTGAAAATTTCGACCTATTGTGAGGGAGGTACCAGAATTGATGTACCAAATTTGTATCAAATCGGATACTTCCTTGTGAATTATCGTGCGCACCAGAGCCAGACAGACGGACGCACATCGCTAGATCGACTCCAAATGTCCTGAAACTGATTTGGTCCAAAGATACCTAGGCTATAAAATCGTTTTTTCGATTAGGCACGTTTTGGCTGTATTAAATGATATATACCCTCTCTAGCCATATGGCTGAGGATATAAAAATAGGAAATATTTTCGCATTTTTTGGGTAACTTGATTTCAATATTTTCTTGATATAAAATGGAAATATAGACTCATTTTCTTTTGTCAATTATAATGAATTGTGCGAATAATATTTTTTCTTTGACGTTATTCCTCTAAAATGATGCATAAAATTGCATAAAATACGGCATTAACCCTAAAATGGCGTTTAGGTAAGATTTACAATCTGGACGTCTTCTAGGACCTATAGTACCATAATATGGGAAATAATTTTATAGAATATTTAAACTTGATACAATTCCGTTTAAACGAAGTGCTTCTAGTGCTTCTATCTGCAATGTTGCTGAAGACACCATTTACCTGAAATTAACGAATTCCATGGAATCTTAATGGGTCAACGAATTTGGATAGTTGAAACCGCGCCTGGCATAGTCTTACTTTATTCTAACTTTCTTCCAATTTTTCTAATAAGTAGATTAATTTGAGTTTAATTTTTTAATATTTTTTCCACTGACATGAATAATAAAAAAATATTTTTTTTTTTTCAGTTCTTTCACAATGACGTTGCCATGGAATATTTACTCAGTGTTTTGGAAAACTATTCCAAGGAGCCCCTGACTCTACACAACTCCCTGGGCGATACCGTACTGGATGTACTCATAAAAATGATACGAGTTGTTGCTAATATGAGTGTTGATTCTGAGGTGGGACTTGGATTGGGAGATACACGATCGTTGGGTGTAATTTTACTGGATATATTGAAAACTACACAGCAATTGAAAAGTATTAAAATGGTGAGACATGCAATAATCTATTCATGCCGAAATATTTGACTAAAACCCTCTTCTCATTACAGAAACACGAGCTACAGGAACTGTGCCATGCCACATTGGGTGCTTTGCACAATTTGTGCTTCTATCAAGATCAAATGGCCAGCACCACTGCAGCCACCATGGTCCAGGAATCCAAAGGAAGTTTACGTTCAATCCTACCCGATTTGGCTACGCAGTTGAGTGCTGTTTTGAAAAATAGCCATGATGAAATGTCCCAGGTTGAAGCGGCTCGCGTGCTGGGCAATTTGACCAGAAACGAAAAGGCAAGAAAATATTTTTGCCGGGCTAAGGGCTTAAAATTGGTGATCAAAATACTTGGTAATCCCAAGACCAAGGAAATCCACGATCTTCAGGCCTGTACCATTGGTATTTTGGTTAATCTTTTGGGTGACATTGAAAATCGTATGCCATTCATACAACTTAAGGGCCCCCAGGTTCTATTTGATTTGCTAAACGATGCTCTGAAACAACGTGAGGATTGGTTTATGAGCACCATAATATGTCAGGCCTATTGGAATTTGTTCATCGACAGCATTCACTTGGAGGAGATGTGTGATGACAACACAATAGAGGATTTAATTGATTTATTATCCGAATACTTGGATGATGATAAACTCTTGCATATGGATGAAATGCTGAATCAACATCAGATATGGGAAGATTTTACCATGGTCTCAACATATTTACTCGATCATCTGCAATCGCACTATCAACAACAAAGTGAGGGTATTAATTCCATGGAGGCCAGTGATATGGATGAAAATGATGAAGATGATGTCTACATTGAGGGTATTTAAGAGAATGCTTGGCCTTAAGAATTAAGTTAAAAACAAATTGAGAAAAAGAAAAGGTTATGACAAAATTATTAAATGTTGATGCCGTGGCAAAACAAAAAGCAAAAAAAAACCAACATTTCTATTGTTTTCATTTCGTTTTACATTGATTTTTTTTACCTCTACCCATGCCAATGATGTCAACGCCATTAATAGGAGAAACGGAAACCTATATTGTCGTTTGTTTTGGTATTTATAGTTAATAATAGCTGTTGGTTATTAAAATCGATAGACGATCAAATGAACAGACACCGAAAAAGTCATAACAATTATTAAAACTTGTTCCTCTTCCATTATTTGTTCTCTTTTCGCTGTTAGCTGATCGATTCAATTCTCTCTCTCTCCCTCTCATTTGGATGTTTCACCTTCTAGATCTCAATGAATTTTTTTTCTTCGATTCGCAGTTAATATGCTTGTTGAATGCTAATTAATATAATTCGTCTTGAAATGGTCCGCATTTTTGGCATCTCTTAAGGGTAGTATTGTTGTCATTCTCAGTGGTATTATTCATAAGCAGGGGAGAGAGAACGTTAAGGCGTTTGCTACCCAACAAAATGATTCATTGTCGGCTTGAATTCACTTTACATCACACACATCCGTATGGGATGTTTAGCCAACAAAAATAATTGTAGTTGAATTTACATATCGTGCAATATTAAAATAGGAAAATTTTTATTAGTTAAACGGCAGGGGAACAAAAATATACTAAATACATAGACAAGTTTTAAACATTAGTATCAAACAAAAAAAAACAAGTCAAATTTTAGTAATTTTTATCGGCAGATGTATACCCTCAGCCAATATTCGATTATTTACATTTATTTACTTTATATGAGATATGTGATAATTTTTAGAAAATTTTAAAATGAGCATGAGGTACCAGATATAGTATTCCATTTCCACGCTTCATCTAATATAGATAAAGTCTTATGGGCAAAATTATAAGAACATCTAACATTTAAATCCAAATTTATGGAAAATGGGTTGAGAGAAATATTTAAATATAGCAAGTTGTAAAGAATCGCTGACTTGCTTCGCTAGTTATGACAGACAAAAGAATTGAAAATTGGGTTGAGGTATCAGAAAAGGGTCCACAGATATATATCAAAATGTGTGTATGTGCGAAATTTGAAGAAAGTTGGAATCTTATTTCGCTTTCGTCGCTTTGAGCGTTTTGTTTTTCAAAATCAGACAGAAGACATAGTCCGATCTCTACGATATTTATTGTGTAGATGAAAATATTGAGACGTGCCAAGTGTGAATGGAACCGGACATTAATTTCGCGTTTTGTGAGCTTTATGGATATTCAAAATTTTGACCTTTGGTGAGGAAAATACCAGAAGGAGTGGACCGATATATCCCATCTTCACAGCTGATCTTGAGTTAGTATAAATAATGGAATGTGGGAAATATGAATAGTACCGGATGTTTATTTCGAGTTTTATAATCGTTTTGTTCTTCAAAAGTTTGAAGAAGGAAAGACCCGATCTCTACCATCTTTATAACAGATCTGTGTTGATAGAAATATTGAGATGTGCTAAGTCTGAATGGTATCGGATTTTAATTTGAGTTTTATGAGCTTCGTGAATATTCAACATTTTGACTCTTTGAGGGGAGGTACCAGAAGGAGTGGACCAATATATTTTATCTTGACAGCAGACCTTGGAATTATAAAAATATTGTGATGTGTGTATTTTGAAGTAAACCGGATGGTTATTTCATTTTTTTTTTTTTATGGTTTTGGTTATTCAAATTTGTAACCCTTTCTGGGGGAGGTACCAGGAGGAATTTACAGATCTCTACCATCTTGAACAGATCTAGTGTTGCTGAAATTATTGAGACGTGCCAAGTCTGAATGGGATCGGATTTAATTTCCTGTTTTATGAACTTCATGAATATTCACAATTCTGACCCTTTGTGGGGGAGGTACCAGAAGGAGTGGACCGATATATTACATCTTCACACCAAATATTGGGTTAATAAAAATATTGTGACGTGTGTAATTTGAAGACAATCGGACACTTACATCACATTTTATAATGGTTATAATTTTTCAAAATGTTGGCCATTTCGTGGGGGTGTACTTGATGGAGTGGACCGATATTATCCATTTTCGCACCTGAGATAGCACTGAAGCAAATATTAGGATTCGCAAAGTTGGAGCAAAATCGGTTCATCCTTTCTCTTTCTGTGCAACAAAATATTTTCTTTGAAAATGTTGAACTTTTGTGGGGGAGGTAGCAGAAGGAATGGACCGAGATTGCCCCACTCCGAACTCGATCTAAGTTTGACAATAATATTACGATGTACCAAACTTGGACCAAATCGGATACTCCCATCCAGCCTATATTAAATGTCCTAAAACCTAGGGTCTAAAACAGTTATTTGGATAAGGCACATTTTGGCCGTATCAAGTGATATGCATGTGTACTATGCAGTCATGTGTCCCTTATACAGGGTGAGATGAAAAAACTGCAACCAACTTCAAACTGCTGTTATTTCTAAGCCAGGCGTCCGACAGCTGTTAAAATTATTCCAGTGACAGCTCATTATATTGTTTACGGGCGTACAAAAGCACTTTGGTGAGAAAAAAGTTATTCGTGATGGAATTCAAGCGTGATAGTGTGATTTCTTTATATTTGGCTAGAAAACCACAAGTGGCTATCGTTAGAGCACTCCAGCACTCCAGCATTTAAATGTTATTAAATCTTTTGTGTCTCGTATCATCGCTCGTTACAGTGATACTGGTAGCGTAGCCGACGTCAAGGAAGTACAGTGGTGGCCAAAACATATGCAACAAATATTAGTTTTTTAAGAAGTCCTCTAAAAAAAATATTTTCTAAAGGAAACAAACGGAACTTGTTATAAATTTTTTTAGCTCATTTTATTGGTTAACAGAAAATAAAATTTAATCCATACTTATAACAAAGAAAACATAGAAAATTTGTAGATATTCAATATAGTCTAATATTTGGTTGGTCAAAACATATGCAACCAATCATTGTGTTAAATTGTTTGTGCAAGAATATTAATATTTTGTAGCAAATCCTTTATTTTTAATTACAGCCTGACATCGGCGACGCATGGACGATATAAGGTTGTCAATAAAATGTTGAGGAATCGATTTCCAGGCCTCTTCCAACCTGTTGTACAAAATATTCGTATTTGTACAATTTTCACGATTGATTCTTTGATTGACGATTTCCCAAAGGTTCTCAATGGGGTTTAAATCAGGTGATTGCGGTGGCCATTGCATTACTGCAACATCATTTTGTGCTAACCACGATTTAACAACTCTTGAAGAGTGTTTGGGGTCGTTGTCGTGCTGGAATATCCATCGCAATGGCATCTCATACTCTGCATATGGTAGCATTACCGTTTCCAATATGTCTTTGTACATGTACTGATCCATTATTCCATTAATTCTATGCAATGGACCTACTCCTGCAGCAGAAAAACACCCCCACACCATTACGCTGCCTCCTCCATGTTTCACTGTCTTTGTACAGTATCGAGCTTGGAGCCGCTTATTAGGTGGTCGCCGTACATAACGCATACCATCGCTACCAAAGACGTTAAATTTGGATTCGTCGCTAAACAATACAGTTCTCCATTTCATTTCTGTCCAATGTAAATGCTCCTTTGCAAACTGCAAACGCTTTTTTTGATTACGTATGGAAATAAGAGGTTTTTTTGCTGGGCGGCGGGCTGGAAGGGAGGCATCATTTAGACGTCTGCGAATAGTCCGATCAGAAATTTGTATTGGGAGTGTTGCAGCAATTTTTGAGGATGTGATAAAAGGATCTTTTTTCACTTTTTGGATTATTAAATTGTCCGTACGATTAGTTGTTTTGCGAGGTCGACCTCCGCTGTGTTGTACCGAAACATCCGAATTCTTTTTAAAATTCGCAATAATGCGAGAAACTGAACTTTTATGCACCTTGTATTTTAGTGAAATATTTTTTTGTGACATTCCTTCGGAAAAATCGGCCACAATACGTTTTCTTAGCTCGATTCCGAACTTATCCCGCGCCATAATTAAATATCTTTTTTTTACTTTTAATCGAAATTCTACTGCTAATTTGTGCAAGGTTATCCGTGATTAATACAGTTTCAACAAATATATTATGAAAACACGTGAGAAAAAGTGGTAAAAATACCGTTATCCGTAAATGATCGAAGAGTTGCATATGTTTTGTCCATATCCATTTTTAGGTTATCGATAAACATAAAAAAAAATTGACAAAATCAAAACCAGATGTTTGTTCTGGTACATATGATCGGTGTCTAAGTTACTACAGAGGAATATAGATGTATTATTAACGTATTGCTTGGAACAAAAATTGCTTTTATGAGTCATTTTACAATATGTGATGTCCAGTTGCATATGTATTGGCCACCACTGTATACGAAAGAAAACAGCAACATCAGCAGAAATGGTTCGAAAAGTAAAGAAGCGACTTGATCGAAACCCGCGAAATGGCTCGTAAGCTGACCATATCACAATATTCCATTCGGCAAATATTGAAAAAATTAGATTGGGGCAAAGCCATTGAAATTCCAAAAAGTGCATGAACTTACACGGCAACAGAAAGAAAATAGACTCAAAAGAGCTAAAGAGTTGCTTGGCTTGGCCGAAAGTGGTGAACTGCCGAATTTGGTTTTCTCCGATGAGAAAACATTTGTTGTCCAGCAGTTGTTCAGGTTAGCTGAAAATGTGCACCCTCGGTTTGCCACCAGAACTCAAGCGCCGGCCATGGTGATGGTTGGGGCACCATAAGAACCGATGGTCACTCTCCACTCGCATTAATCGATTTTTTGCTTTCATTCAATAATATTTAAAAAAAAAAAAAACGTAAAAATTATGGTTGTTGTTGTTGTAGAAGCTCATACATCTGTGTTCGTTCGGTTTCCATTTTCTGACTCAGTTCAATCAGGTTCTGCCTCTAAGTCCAGTCTCAAAAAGGATGCAACCTGTATGGGTTGTGTCCATAACGAGACTGGAGTTAGGTGAGTAGGCTTGGCTGGACAGCGAAATAAGTGCAGCGTGTCATGTGGGCCTGTGCCACATGCTGGGCAGATTGGTGTTTGATTTTGTTCCAGTTTTTTTATCTCACCCTGTATATGTCACTGCTACAGGCCATTTAACAAGCAGAAGCACTTAAGGTTCAAAGTTCTCTGCGTGAAAGACACAATAATGTAATTTAGTTTATTTTACAACAAATATTTCACAAACGCAACATTTTTTGTTATCATGTGACTTCTGAATCCTTCAATTAATAAGGCAAAGCTGTAGGCAATAATCCGAACAAAGTAAGATTACTGGGCGTACAACATGTTCTATTTCACTATACTGTAATAAATACAAATTTGGTTTAAAAAGTCAAATTCTTTAAATGGCAAATAATGTACACACCTAGCTTAACTGACGCGTAACAATGCATTCCAGACATACTTATTTCCATTGCCAAACCCAAGACATCATCTACCATTTTAACTATTTCGTTTTAAAATAAAATAGTTTCCTAAAAATTCCGTCAGATTACTTAAACAATTTTGCAAAATTTCTTAATAGAAAATCCTCATATTATGACACTTTGGCTAGAGAGATAGCTTTCACACCTGCAATGTGTCAAAAATTTAAAGCAAAAACGAAAAAAACAAAAACAACAGCATGCGGCAACGACAATTGTTTTTTTGTTAATGACGATAATCGCAATGCTACTCGTCGTATCTCAAGTAGCCACGAAATCAAACAAAACCCCAAAAGGGGGGAACAAAACGGTGCTCCCATCACCAGCAATGTGTCAACCAACCGTAACGCTCTCATCAGACCCAGATGCATCTACTTAAGACATTCATTAAAACAAAAAGTTACTCTAGCAGAAAAATTGTAACACACGAAGTAAAAAATAAACAAAAGAAATTTACCAAAAAACGCAAAAGAAACCAAAAAAATCTTGTAAAATGATTCCCATGGCCGAAAAAAAAACAAAACAAAAATAAATGTAAAAGAATAACAAATAAAAAACGAAAAGTCTCAAATAGAGAGAGGTCTTCTGTGAGAGACGACAGAGAAAACGGCAAAGTAAAAAACAATATAAACGTCAGCTAGGCTCCCACAAAAGTGGCGGCGATGGAGACAATGATGATTGTTTGAATGCTGATGATGACACATCATAGTGGCTACAAATGATCCCCTTCCCCCTCTCTCTCGTTTTTGCTTTTCTTCTCCTAAGCCATGAACAACAAAAAAAATCAACAAACATCAAACAAATGAAGTCAACAAATATGCGAGAAATGTTAATACACACTCAATAAAAAAACCACAACAACAACAACCACCATTACTTCTTTTGGGGGGCTAACCAAAAATAAAGGTAAGAAATTAACGAAAACTTGTGCAAAACGGAAGAAGGTGCAAAAAGACAGTGTGAATGAAGATGGTGGTTGGTTGATAGTTGGTCGGTCGGTCGGCAGTCGATTGCTTTTTTGGCATTTGGCATATTTTTTGGGGTTAGAATGGCGAAAAAAGAAAGAACCAATAAAAAAAACAAATGACTAGTTGGCTGGCTCGCTGGCCACAAGTTGTAAGTTGGTAAGATGGAAGAAGTGAAGTGAGGGCCCCATAATATTTCTTTATGTTCAGAAATACACCCACACATTTATTGCTCACTTACAGCAGCAGCAGCAACCAACCACCACACATCATAAATGTAACACACCATTAATCGAGAAAATGCAAAGTGCAAGTTTAAGGCAAACAGATGGAGGAAAAAATAGAAACAGGTCTTTTTTTCAATTTAACTTGCTCTCTACGATGAGTAATATTTTTCGTTGGCCCTGCACAACCATTCCAAATACTTACCATAAGTTTTCTTTGTCAGCATTTGTGGCAGCATCCTTTTTCTTTGATGTAAAGGATGATGTCAGAGCAGCATTACTGCCGTTCACTTGTATGTCCAGTGCCATCTTCAACAGCTCAAAGTTCCGAAGATGGTTGGTTTAATGACGGAATCTCGGTAAACTACACCACTACCACCACTTGGGATGAACCACAACTTCCCACTTGAAAACGCAATTGTTCCGGCAATAAATTGTAAAAAAAAATAACAATTCTTGGTGGAAGCAAAGAAAGCTCTTGGTCAACAACACTCCCTTTTGAACAAAATTTGCTTGGTCTTTTCTCTCTTTAAGCCAATTTGTATTTCCTTTCTCTCACTGTCTCTATCTTACAAACTTAATAATATTTGCAAATTTTCTTAATTTTTAGTCAGCAGTATGCCAATCGTTAGTTGTGATTTTACTGGCTTTTTTCGGATGAGTGTTACCGCTTTCAATTGCCCCTCTTCTGCTTCTTCTTATTATTTTTTTCTATTTTCAAGTCCAATTGGGAGTATTCGTTTCGTTTTTTGTACTTTTTTTCTTTCTTCTTTGTGGTTTTTCTCTTTTGCCTTTTTTGAACTGTTTTAAACACACAATGACATTCGTTTTATTTTTTTTCTCCGAGTATTATGACTGTGAAAATCGAAACAAAAAGTTTTTTGTTAGATTTTTATGTTTGCATACACAAAAGTTGGCAATTTTTGTATAAAATTTGTCAAAAATTTTAATTAGATTTCGCACAACACTTCGAAGAAAAAATTACGTTCTCCTTCGTACTCAGAGAACCGAGTTACAATGAAATTGGCTAACGGCGTTACTGTTTGTTGGCAGGGACCTGCAAACCGATGACTTGTTATCGATTTATTTACTTAAAATATGATTTGTCGTTGCCGACGAAAATTTGTAACTTGAAAATAAAAAGTTTTCTCGTATGAAGAGGAAAAAAGTAAACAGAATTCTTTTTGGTAAATCTCAACGATTACATTTTACTAATTTGCTGATAATTTCCATTAATTACCGAAAATATAAAAATTTGAGCCATTGTTATTATCGATAAATGCTGTTAAGTTCCATAGCAGAATTAAAACATTGAATAATTTTATGCGTTAAATGTAACCGCTAAAACAACAACAACTCATTGTGAGTTATTTTAAGAAACAAAAGAAAATAGGTTGTTTCATGTTTGCTGGATTCTTTGTTGCTGCTTAAGCCATTGGCTGGCTTCTTTTTATAAATGGTCTGTTCTGCAAGAATGTAAAAGTTTTTACTACGATAACCAATTTTCCCTTTATGTTATCGAAAATAATTTCAAAACTAGTAGATGTGGAACAGATCAAAAGGAGTGTAGGGTGAATATGGATGAATATGAACTAAGGGTGGAAATACATAAAGTGCATATTTGGCTGGATTAAGTCATCGGCTGGCTTCTTCATAGATGAACAATGGAGCTTTAGGTTGACTTAGTTCGATTTTGACACTAGGCTCTTTCTTCATTTCCGAAGAAGCCAGCCAGATAAGTGCTTTATGTATTCCCACCTTAAGTCAACATAAAACTTCTTTGTTTGTTTACGAAGAAGCAGAATGACTTAGCCAAGTAACAGTACGTTTACATATAAATAGGTTAACCTACTGGATTTGGATTAAAATTGTCACATCTATTACTTATACTTCAAATAAATCCTCTTGAAGTAGGTTAACCCCGAAAAAAGTTCTAACGTAAAAATAACATAAAAAATCATAATATATGTATTATCACCTTAACCAACCAAACTCCTTTGTTCTTTTAATTACAAATGAGATATGTCAAAAAAATGGTCATAAAGAATGTAAAAGGTGGAGGTACATGCCTGAAGTCATGGCTATACATATTAATGTCAAATTATAATGGAAAACGACGGCAGGATGTTCGTGCGAGTCTGTAATCCCTATATGAAATGTCAAGCTTCTTATGTACTTACACCTTAACTTAGAAAAAAAGCTCCAAGTTAAACATGCCTTTCCTGGTAGAATCAAAAAGATAAAGTCATGCAGACATATGATAACATTTTTTTTCAAAAATTTTTATTTGACAAAATTTCATTGTCAAAATTTATATTTACAAATCCACAAATCAGAGATGGAAACATTCTTTTATGCAGTGTTTATTTGAAATGACTTTGCCTTCTTAATCTTACCATGCATGCCTTTATGCTAACCTAATTATTATATTGCGCAAAAAGTACCTTTAAAAATTGGAGTGTGTACTCCACTGTAAGTGAGCAGAATAAAATGTATGCTCTTAAGAAATTTATCTATTAAAAAATATGATCATTTTCAGAAAAAAAGGTTTATTCTGCGTATTTAAACGCATAAAGACTTTTTTGTACGCATTGATTTTCACACCAATTCGTATGTGCGTTACTTGTCTACTAATTCCACGTTATTTCTTCTCTGGTGTGCATTTTCATTAGGTTGCACCTAATTGTGAATACTTGGTACTCAATACTCCAATACCGAATACTCGTTACCTTCCCAACTGCTATAGTCATATGACAGTCGATAAAGAAATAGAGAAAAGTATTTTTCCTCACAAGTCAAGAAGGAAAAAAAACCTTTTTGTTTGCTGTAAAAACAAGAAACGGATATAACCACCATTTACGAAGATTTTCAAAAAAAGATTGAAAAATCTTTAAGTCTTCACAAATCAATATCATTTTGAAAGTTAATTTACGGGTCATTTGTGAAAGCAAAACAAAGGAGGAAAAATGACTGGCTCAGGTTTTATGTTCAACATTGATGGTGGTTACTTGGAGGGTTTGTGCCGTGGTTTCAAGTGTGGAATTTTGAAACAATCCGACTATTTGAATTTGGTGCAGTGTGAAACATTGGAAGGTAAGAGCAAGTTCCCCAAATCACATTCCTTGATTTTCAAAAAGGAAACAAAAAAGATCATTTGAGACGAGAATTGACAAAATTACAGGGGCAAGTCATGTGACATTTGTATGTGTGTGTAAGAAAAATACTACTATGTGGGACTATTGTGTGTCAAAAAGTGAAAGAGATGGCAATAGCAAAATATTGTCATGTAGTTAGGAAAGAAGGTTGAGGGAGGGAGTGAGGGGGAAAATACACATTAAGAAATTCTCCAGTCTTGTGATTGTTGTCAATGTGTTTTTGTTGCTTTTATCTACTTGGTCTTATCAATAGTTGAATAAATGTAATTGCAATAACTCTTTTTGTGTTTTACAGATTTAAAATTGCATTTGCAAAGTACGGATTATGGCTCCTTCTTGGCTAACGAACCCTCTCCCTTGTCCGTCTCCGTTATCGATGACAAATTGCGTGAAAAGTTGGTCATTGAATTCCAACATATGCGCAATCATGCCGTCGAACCCTTGGCCAGTTTCCTGGACTTCATTACCTATGGCTATATGATTGACAACATCATTTTGTTGATTACTGGTACTCTCCATCAACGCCCCATCTCGGAGTTGATTCCCAAATGTCATCCATTGGGTAGCTTCGAACAAATGGAAGCCATTCATGTTGCTGCCACTCCAGCTGAATTGTACAATGCCGTTTTGGTTGATACCCCATTGGCTCCATTCTTTGTCGATTGCATTTCCGAGCAAGATTTGGATGAAATGAACATTGAAATTATCCGTAATACCTTGTACAAAGCCTATTTGGAAGCTTTCTATGATTTCTGCAAGAACATGGGTGGTTCCACTGCTGATGTTATGTGTGAAATTTTGGCCGTAAGTATTTGCTTTGAAGAAGTGTAAATAGTAATTTTAATTTGTCTTTTTAGTACGCTTTTTAGTCTTGTCAAATTTCTTGGACTTTGTGTCAGGGAAATTATTTTTAGTGCCCCAAAAGTATATAAAGGCTGGAATAACTAGGGATTGCTTTTTGAACAACCTCTTATGTCATTTAAAGGAAATTAATAGTCTGATATTTTATCTTCTATATATGACGAACTCCCCTCAATGCTGGCGCGGTATTTTCAAGAATCACTTTCAGTTTCGGAACTGCTGCAATTTCAATATGTTGTTATTCGGGCACAAGCGACGATTCGTAAAAGGGGCGTTGAAGGGGGATTCAAACTTTGAATCCATTTTTTTCTTCCACGAATCAGGTCGTTCATTGCGAATCACTGTTTCGCTGTTTGGATTAGAGATGTTTTTGCCATCTTTTCCATCATTTGAATATTTATGCTCCATAAGATTTCTTATAAAGATTTCATATTGTAACTCTTCCAAGAAATCCCTTTAGGCGCCATGAGTAAAATTGCGATTTTAATATTTTTAGCATCAAAACGATTTGATATGGGTGTCTCAAATTTGGCACAGATGTGTCTTTCGTTTGAAAGAAGGTTTGGGTAGGTGACAGAAATTTTGAAGGTCTTATTCAAATCGGTATGCCTGTAACTTAACATTTCGAAAAAGTCGAATCTTAGCTAAACGTATTTTTAACAAAGCCTAAAATTTTTGGTATTTTTTGTGCCATCTGCTTTGTGCCCATGGTACAATAGGAAGGTAGAACAACTTCGTAAAACTACAGAAATACAGCCCTGAGGCTATGCCCGCTTCCTGCCAGACTTATTCAAAATTATATGCAAAAAGTTGTTTTCATTTTTTTTTCATAATTTTTTTTCTCCATTTTTAAAATAAGTTGAAGAGCTCGAAAATGGCCGAAATGCCTGGATTTTCTTTTAAAAAATATGATCCAAACTGTTCAATCTTTCAATTTCATGGCTAAACTGGTTAATAGCATTTATGCGTATTTTTCAGTACAAGGCTTTGTTCCAGTCATTGGGTTTTCATTTTTCAAAACAATAAAGACATACATACACAAACTTGGCAGAAGTCGGGCACACTTAGAAAAAAAGTATAATCGGCTGGTAGCTCTACCTTATCTTTTCATTGTAACATTCGCTCTGTTCCAGAACCTGCAAAAATCTACTATTTCTGCAATTTTCATAAAGGAAAAATTGGTAATCGAAGTAAAAACTTTTACGATTTAAGTGTTTGTTTTCTCTTTCGAGACGAGCTTAATGATCTGAAATTTGCAGTGAAAAGGAAAGCCAGATAGACACTATCACACACTCACCACTATGCGACGCGTTTCGCCGTTGGTTAAGCGGCTCATCAGGCATATTTGATGTGGATGATGGCTTACAAGGGCCGTTCTCTGGAAAGTAGTATATATTTCGAACTTATTGCAAATTAGCATATGCGAATTATACACTAGAAATTCTCCAGGTTCGACTCAAATTCTATTGGCAGATCTTTTTTCACAGCAACGTTTTTTTTTTTTTTTTTTTTTTTTTTTTTTTTTTTTTTTTTTTTTTTTTTTTTTTTTTTTTTTTTTTTTTTGTAGTGATGGATTTTTTGTCCACAACAACTACATTGCTTCCAATGCATACACTTGTTTTAGTGCTGCTTTAGGAAGACGGGTTAATGGTTCTGAACGTAGAGACGGCAACTTCTAGTTGGCTGCACACAGAGGTCCGCGGTTCAAATCCCACAGCCAGGCTCGGCTGAATTTTTGAGTTTTGCCTTGTTAAGGCGAAGATCATATGTTTTATGATTTAAGTGTTTGTTTTCTCTTTCGAGACGAGCTTAATGATCTGAAATTTGCAGTGAAAAGGAAAGCCAGATAGACACTATCACACACTCACCACTATGCGACGCGTTTCGCCGTTGGTTAAGCGGCTCATCAGGCATATTTGATGTGGATGATGGCTTACAAGGGCCGTTCTCTGGAAAGTAGTATATATTTCGAACTTATTGCAAATTAGCATATGCGAATTATACACTAGAAATTCTCCAGGTTCGACTCAAATTCTATTGGCAGATCTTTTTTCACAGCAACGTTTTGTTTTTTTTTTTTTTTTTGTAGTGATGGATTTTTTGTCCACAACAACTACATTGCTTCCAATGCATACACTTGTTTTACATTCTTGCAGTTCTGGAACAGACCAATGGCTGTGCCCAAAATTTCCAAAGAAATTGTCTAAAAATTTGAAGCAAATTTTTCTTAAAAAGAGATCTTTAGATTTTTTTTTCCAAAAAAAAAAATTAATTTTTTCTTTCAGACAACATTGCTCTCCTTCTGAATAATTTTCCTGTCTACTAATTTAATTTGTTTTGTATTTTTTCCTACTTTCAGTTCGAAGCCGATCGCCGTGCCATCATCATCACCATCAACTCCTTTGGCACTGAATTGTCCAAGGACGATCGTGCCAAATTGTACCCACGCTGTGGTAAAATGAATCCCGATGGTTTGGCCGCTCTGGCTCGTGCCGATGACTATGAACAAGTCAAGACCGTGGCCGAATACTATGCTGAATATGCTGCCCTTTTCGATGGCTCCGGCACCAATCCTGGTGACAAGACTTTGGAAGATAAATTCTTCGAACATGAAGTTAAATTGAATGTATTTGCTTTCTTGCAACAATTCCACTTTGGTGTGTTCTATGCCTATTTAAAATTGAAGGAACAGGAATGCCGTAACATCGTCTGGATCGCTGAGTGTGTTGCACAAAAACATCGTGCGAAAATTGACAATTACATCCCCATTTTCTAAATGTATTCAAGTCTCAACATCCACATATTAGAATGTTAGTATGAAATGTGTTCGAAGAGAGAACGAAAGAGAGAGAGAGGTGTTTTTAATTAAAAGTCCAAAAAAACCTGGTCAAAATGCACCCTACCATCCGCTTTATCCATGTTTAATTGGTCTAAGTATTTTTTTTGTTGTTGTTTTATTATTATAGAAAAAAAGTTGTAGATTTAATGCAACTTTTAAAATTTTGCTTTAACTAAGTATTCAAACACCACCCCATACCCTTTGTTTTATTTTTCTTCTTGTCGCTGTGTAATTATTTTGTTTATTTAATTGATGGCAGTAATTTTTACTTCCGTTTGTTCTTTTCCTTCAAATTTATGTTCATTTCATAAAACAATATGGAATCGAATCATAATAATCTGAAAACAAATTATAGATATTTACCATACCTAAAATAAATAAAAAATGAAATTGTATACATATATATTGTTAGCAAATTATATTGTAATTATGTAAAAAAAGATACAAAAACCTTAAATATCGTGCAAAAATAATATATAAAATATATAAAACAGTTTCCAAACATTCCTTTACACAAATATGCAATTTTTATTCGTGCAGGTATAGAAAAGGAAATGGGTGAGTTGTGGACGTCTTTATTGGTGACCAAATGTGAGTTCGGTCTAAATGACCGAATGGAAGTTCTTATAAAATATTTTATACAGCTTTGGCTTAATTGAATAATCGTCATTATTATTGATTACTTTTTATACCCTACACCGCAAAGTGGTCAGGGGATTATGTCTTTGTGCATTTGTTTGTTACAGGCAAAAGGAAATGAGATAGACCCATAGTTCCTTTTGATGATTTGCATAGAATCACATTCTGAGTCGATTTATGCATGTCCGTCCGTCCATCTGTCTGTCCATGTATTTTTGTAAACAAAGTATACGTCACATGTATTCCCCGATCCAGATGAAAATTTGCACAAGTCATTTGTTTGACCCAAGGACGAACCCCATTGGAATTGAAGAAAATCTGTCAAAATTTAGATATAGCTCACATATATAGCTTCGCTTGATTTGTCTTTTATTGTGCACCAAACGTGTAATATTAGCCCAAATGGCATAGAATTTCGCACATACGACCAAATTGAGTCTTGAAACAAGTATGTCAAATTTAATTGAAATCGGTTCAGTTATAGCTAAACCTCCATATATATTGTTCATCCGATTTCATATTTTTGTCCTCCACAATATGTCCTCCGTAACAACGATATTTGGGGAAATATATAAAATACAGCTTAGAAATAACTTTGCTAAATTTTATCGAAATTGATTCAGATTTAGATATAGCTCCCACATACAGCTTCGTCCAATTGGCCTTTTATTGTGCACTAAACGTGTAACATTAGCCCAAATGGGATGGAATTTGGCACTTACGATAAAATTGAGCCTAGAAACAAGTATGTCAAATTTGGTGAACTTCGGGTCAGATATAGCTATAGCTCCCATATATATATTTACCCGATTTGTTATTTTTGTCCTCCGCAGCCATAATATGCCCTCCGTAATAACAATATTCGGGGAAATATATCAAATACAGCTCAGAAATGCCTTTGCTACATTTTATCGAGTTGGTTTCAGATTTGGATATAGCTCCCATATATAGCTTCGTCCGATTTGCCTTTTATTGTGCACCAAACGTGTGATATTAGCCTAAATGGGATGGAATTTGGCACTTACGATCAAATTGAGCCTAGAAACAAGGATGTCGAATTTGGGGAAATTCTGGTCAGATATAGCTATAGCTCCCATATATATTGTTCATCCGATATTTTGGGGAAATATATAAAATACAGCTCAGAAAAACCTTTGCTAAATTTTATCGAGATCGGTTTAGATTTGGATATAGCTCTCATGTATATTTTCATCCGAATTCAAGTTAATTGTACATCAAATGGGTAATATTAGTCCGAATTGAAGAGGAAACAAGTCACATAGCTATAAGTTCAGCCGGGCCGATCTTTGAATACCCTCCATCATTTGGAACGAATTTGGCAATTTTTTAAATAAAATCCGTTAAAAATTTTGTTAAAATCTTAAAAATACCGAATGTAGCCGTTATATTAGGGTATATACGACGATGTGGATCTGCAGAGGGATCTTTTGTTATAAGCCATTACAATATTCAAATGCGAAACCTAAAAAAGCCGGTGAATAAACTAGCTTAAATCATCAAAATACCGAATATAGAGAGGTACTATTATATGGGGGCTATACGAAGACGTGGACCTGCACAGACAATTTCCTGTCATAGGCTGTGGTATCCATTACGAACTTTAAATGCCAAATTTGAAACATTTCCGGTGAATAATGTCGCTTAAATCATCAAATTTTCGAATATCGGGAGGTGCGGTTAGATCGGGGCAATACGAAGACGTGGACCTGCACATACAATTTTCTGTCATAGGCTGTAGAATCGATTACAAACTTCAAATGCTAAATTTGAAACATTTCCGGTGAATAATATCGCTTAAATCACCTAAATACCGAGAATAGGGAAGTACCATTATATGGGGGTTATACCAAAACGTGTACCAACATGGCCCATTTTCCACACCAAGAGTCCTGCAGACATAATATACATTTGAGTAAAATTTTATAAACCAACTTCATTTCGTTCGGAATCCAGAGTGATTTCCACAGACAGATGGACGGAATCGACATACATTTTTTGCTGATCAAGAATATATATACTTTGTGGGGTCTGCGATGTATATTTCGAGGTGTTACTAATGGAATGACAAACTTAATATACCCTCCATACTATGATGTGATATAATTCTCGCAAATTTCCCAAAAAACTTTTATTTGTTATCTACTAAAATATGCATAAGGGAGTAAGGTATAATAAAGTCGGCCCCTCTCGACTTTAAGATTTTCTTTACTGTGTATTTCTTTGAGTTGATTAAAAAACTGGTTAGAAGAAAATCAATTTATTTTAAAGTTAATTCTTCATTTATTTAGTTGAGGTTATGTTTTATATATTTTTCATTGACTACTTTTTCCTTAACAAATCACATTTAGTTTGTTAATTTTTGTTGTATAATAAATGTTGCATTTTTTTTTTATTAAGTTTTGGATAATGATCGTTGTTATTTAGAATAAATTTATATTTGGGAGATTTTTTTTTTGTTCATTAGGAATATAATACGGAAAACGAATTGTAGTGTTTTTTGATAAAATTATATAAAAAAAATTATCGGTTATTATTTAGCAATTTTATATTTTTTAATTTACATTTATTTTGATTACTTTTTATTTTTAATACATACTTTCTCTTATAAATTGTTTTGTTATTTCGTTGTTGCAAAATCGTCAGGCAAAATCCCATTATTGTTGTTTTTATAAAAACAACGTTTTGTTTATGAGTGGAGAACGATGGTAATGTTTACCAGGGGGTAAGGCAGGGAATACCTAGGTTTCGGAAAGAGCCACCAATCCTCATCAGTTCCCTTGTTTCTTGTCTGGGATATTCTCCCCAGAAGTTATTTTAAAAATAACTTCTATGACAAAAAACATTTTTTTACCCAAGTGACGAGATCGTAAGCTCAATAGAAGAGGAACAAAAGAATTATATAAAACTAAAATTCTTTTGGAAAATCTTCTAAATCTTACAACCGCACTTATAAACATTTACATCTTTCTCCACTTTGTTTTTCTCCTTACCCCCTGGTAAACATTACCATCATTCTCCACTCATAAACAAAACGTTGTTTTTATAAAAACAACAATAATGGGATTTTGCCTGACGATTTTGCAACAACAAAATACTATGGTATCCCAAACAAGCAAGCCAAACACTGTTTTGTTATTTCTTAAATAATTTTAATTTGCAAATGTTTATCATTGTAGTATATCATTTTTATATTTAGTATATAATTTTAATATTTAAAAACTTCGAAAATATTTTATAATTCCCTTTATTATTAGTTTAAGTATATTTATTTAATGATATTCATTGTGAATTCGTCCCTTTTTTCTTCATCGTTGGGATATGCGTGCATGTGTTGTTGTATTGTATGTGTGTAAGTGTGGGGAGAATTATGAGGATTTCATGTTATTTGGATTTAAAATATTTATGCATTTTAAATACCAATAATAATACCACGAATAAGCTTTATATTTTTCCATCGATTAAAATCGAAAAATGTAATAAATTAGTATATTATGTGACGGTATGGGTAAATTTTTTAAAATTAAAATTCTTTACCCCACTTAATTTTCAAAATCATAACAACATATATAAAGTGTGGGACATTACATGATCTACAGATATCAAACAATTAACAAAATATTACTAAGCAAACCCTGTATAGTGTTTTTTTACTCACATAAAGCAAATAGGCAATATAAATACGACAATAAAAGAAAAATTATACCCACGGTTTTGAATTAGTTAAAATCGGTATTGTAAACTAGCAAGTGCCCCCTACTTCGTCAGTAAAATGTCCAGCTAAAAATTTTAAATTCGTTCCAACAGTTCGTGTTAGGCGTTTTTATATCCTTCACCATAGTATGGAGGCTATATTAAGATTGTCTTTCTATTTTTGTAACACCTCGAAATATACATTTTGACCCCACAAAGTATGTATATTCTTGATCAGCATAAAATTCTATGTTGATTTAATGACAGTCTGTCCGTCTGTAGAAATCAGTCTAGCTTCCGATCGAATTGAAGTAGGTTGATAAAATTTTACTCAAATGTTTATTATGTCAGGACTTTTGGTATTGAAAATGGGCCATGTAGGTACCCTCCATATAATGGTACCTCGCTATTTTCGGTATTTTGATGATTTAAGCGACATTATACACAGGAAATGTTTCTAATTTGGTATTTGAAGTTCGTAATGGATACTACAGTCTATGAAAGACAATTTGTATGTGCAGGTCGACGTCTTCGTATAGCCTTCATACAACGGTACCTCCCAATATTCGGTATTTTGATGATTTTAGCGAGAGTATTCATCGGAATTGTTTCAAATTTCGTATTTAGAGTTCGTAATGGGAACTACAGTCTGTGACAGAAAATTGTCTATGCAGGTCCAGGTCTTCGTATAGGTTCCATATATCAGTACCTCCCTATATTCGGTATTTTGACGATTTTAGGTACAATACTCCCCGAAATTTTTTGAGTTGTCGTATTTGAATTTCGTAATGGATGCTACAGCCAGTGACAGAGAATTGTCTATGCAGGTCCAGGTCTTCGTATAGCTCCGATATAACGGTACCTCCCTATATACTGTATTTTGATGATTTTAGCTACATTATTCACCGTTTATTTCACGTTTCGAATTTAAATATGGTAATGGCTTATGAGAAACAATGCTTACGTAAGTCCATGTCGTATAGACCCAAATATAACGGATATATTCGGTATTTTTAAGATTTTTAAAGAACTTTTAACGAATTCGTTCCAAATGGTGTAAGGCGCGGTCGAACCTACTGCTTTTTAACTTGTTTAAATCTCATGTCCATACAACCGAAATGTTGGAAAAAGCATGCCAAAATTGGTCGCGATCAACATTTGCATGAAA